AAAATCAAATAGTATTTAAATGTTGAGCATTGTTAAATATTATAATATTCTTATTGTGTATGTCTAAAACAATTTCCAATGCAATTTTAATTTTTTGATTAAATCAAGGATTAATAATAAAATAATATTTATACAAAAAAAACTAGATACGAAAAACCATATTTTCCTCATGCTCTTTAAAATCTTCTTTCGTTACTCCATAAAATAACTTAGCGTAACATTTAAGTGTACTATTAATGCACTATATATATTTATATATAATGTAAAGAAGAAAACTATTCACGTGAATAAAAGGTGGATGTCTATATAGAGTCAACTATAAAAATAACTATAACCTTACTTGATGTATTCTAAAAGAGCATAAGGTCGTAATATTTGAACTTTTATACTTATTTGACGTAACCAATAAGTTATTTTTTTAGAAACTAATAACAATTTTATAGAATTAAACATTAATAAAATTCTCTTAAGAAAAAATGTTAAGTTTTTAAATTATTGACCTTGGCATTACTTATAATGATATCATGAAAACTCCAATGAATTTTTTTGAATTCTATAAGATCTTTATTAGTTGACATATCAGTCAATAATCACTTTACTTATGGTACAATAATCAGACAAGTTAATGAAAAAAATTGTTCTAGTCAATTTTGTATAAAGTAAAATAGTTTTAATATTATTTGTAATTAATATTTTACTATACGGAACAAATAAGCTAATTTAGCTAACGAGTAATTATTACACCTGAATGGATTCAAACCTTACCTATAACGCAATTGCACACAAACAATAATTTAGCAATAAATGCAAAGCGATTTTTTTAATAGTAAAATATATTAATATAAAATTAAATTATTAAAAAAAAAAAACTGAAAATTATGGATACAGTATAGCGGAGTTGATTTAGTTTAGTATTAGTAAATATCTGCCAATGATTAAAGTTATTATAGTAATACGCTTTAATGCAAAACAAATTAAAAAAAGACAGATTTATGAAACATTATAAAAAAAATGAAATAAAACAAAATTTAATATGATGTTTTGCTCCTCCTAAAACTTAGGTTATTGATAGAATTTTCTAAAAAAGTATGTTGTAAGTTAAGAAATTATTTTATATATTATCACTGAAAATTTTATTTTTTCCATATTTAACTATTATAACTATTCCAATAGTTATATTGAGTTATCATATCCACCAAAAATTACATGGTTATCAACTTTAAACGCTAATTACTTATAAACTATCATTATTTTATTAATCATAAAATACACAAAAATCCTTTAATCTGATTTAGTTTTAGATTTAGAATGATATAAATATTTCGTTGCTACGCAATTACTAAAAACTAGATAAAATACCTAAAATTTATGGTTTTTGGAGAGTCAATAACTCTTAGAAATCGAGATTTTGTTGTTTTTTCATCTTGAAGTTCATTATATTACTTTCTTAATCTAGGTTTAAAAAGACAAGTTTTTGGAACATTAGCAAAAATTGGAAAGAAAAAAAAATTTCATATGATTTTTAAGCCTCCATACCTTGGTTAATAATAGAATTTATAAAAAAAATTACTTTATCGACAAGATTATTATGTGTAATATTATAAATAAAAATTTTGGAATAATCCGTTTTGTTTTCAACTTTNAAATTACTTTATCGACAAGATTATTATGTGTAATATTATAAATAAAAATTTTGGAATAATCCGTTTGGTTTTCAAAAAGTTGAAAACAAAACGGATTACAAAATGAAAAATAAAATGATCAACATTGCCCGTTTTAAAACAGCTGTATTTTTTTTGGACATTTCCCTTTATTATGGAGACAAAATGGAGTTGTAAAATTTATGGCACTGATAACTTCAACTAGATACATTTTGTGATCTTTTAATTTATCGTCGAATAAAATTAGTCCAGTAGGAACAGTATTGTCATGTTCAGTGACATAGAAACAAAAATCAGCAAATCAATAGCTTCTAAGATACACATCAAAGTTAAAAAACAATTCTTGGTCATTCTTAAAGAGATTATTAGTATTCTAGACTATGGAACAATATTTGAAATCTTTTAATAATTTAGAAAAATCCTATACAATTACTTTAAGATTGATTATTAAAACAAATGTGTTAATAGCACCTTCTACCAAATAGTATATCAAAATAGGTCCTAATAAATAAAAAAATTAACTTAATATTAAAAAAATATAAATTTCCAAAAAAAAAATTATTTTTTCAATTTGTTGATAAAAGAAACTAAACATAGTAAACATGTAAATTATACATAGTTTAATTAAATCAAAACTATGATGATGGTCATTATAATGAACTTTATTATTATTAATAACTTATTAAGACTACATATTCAAATATTATTTTTCATTTATCTATACATCTTTTCCATATTATATTTTATGACATTTTATAAATGTATACATATATACATGTGCATATATAGTATATGTATACAAGGATACATGAGTAACTTTTAAGTTTAATATTAAATAAACCAATAAAATTAAGCTTTATCAATATATTTGTCTTTAATGAAATTTGTACTTTAAAAAAATTCTTTTTTCTTATAAATAATAATTCTATAAAGAATAATTAAGGTTATACTCAAAACAAAGAAAAACTCATCAACTTAACTCCAAGAATAATAACTTTTCTATATTAACCCTATCGAGTTAGAAATTCTCTAATTTTATTCCCAAGTTTTGTTTTGTATTAGTTTAAAAGCAATTATTACTAACTAGTAGAAATTATTATTAACTAGTTTAGTTAAATCAGGATATTTATATTTTAAACTAACCCTAAATTATTACGTGATAAATATCACACAGTTCACAAAAATATCACAAACTGTGGTTAGACATAATTATATTCTGCTCGATATAAAATAAACTTAAGTAATCTATTGTTATAGCATTACTAATCAACGAAAAGATTTTTTTACGTTAAATTTTAAAAACAAAGTAATAAATCGCTAAAAAGCTTGCTAGATATACAAAAAAATTTTACCAAAAAAATACAGTCTTGTTGAAAGTAAATATAATTAAAATTGAAACAGTAGACTTCACAAAATTTTTAACATCGGTTTTATTATTAATCTAACAAAATATACATTTTAGATTCAATAGTAAATATTTTCTAATTACATCAAATGACTAATGAGTAAACTAGTATCTAACGAATATTAAAGATAAAAATATAAAAAATTTTTTCAATTTTGAATATTATTGTCAAAGAACTAGAACAATAAACTCTGAAAAGTTTATTGCTGTGAGCCAATATGAAAAATAATAATTAGGACTTAAAATAGTCATAAAATGTTTAGAAAATTAATTTATAACGTTGACCTAATAGAAAAGTGTCAATAATTAAAAATAATAATTTAAAAAAAAAAATATTTTTGAAATAAAAAAACAGACAAGATTTTATCAATCAAGCAAAAAGAATCTAAAAATCTGATACAGTTTTAAAAGTATCTTTATAGGAACAAAAAAAATTTTCTTAGGCTGACAAATAATCAATTTTTTCATCATTAATTTGAAATAAAAAATACCCAGTACAGTGAGGACGCGCCATTATTGAAACAGTATAGATGTTATCTGACAATGATTAACATTACTATCATGAAAAACACTTGGAGGCAATTTATTGTTGAAATAGTGCATTTAAAGTCAAATAACCGTAGAAAAAATAACGTTAGTGCTTTTTTCTTTATTTAATTATAAAGTACTCTAAAAATAATTTTAATTTGACATAAGTTTAAAGAACGCAAAATTTCGCAGCATTTTCAAAAATTAAAAATAAAATAATTTTTTTAATTTAACAGTCGATTTCTTATAAATCAATCTAATTAAAGCAAAAAAAAAATTAGATTTAACGATTATTTTGATAAACATATATGTTTAAAAATCAAATTATTTATAACTATTTTGAACTTAATATAAGTAATCTTAAAAATTACATTTAAAAACTTGATTGCATTATTTGGGAATGAAATTCAATTTTTAATTTTAAAATAGAGTTTTTACCAGATTCTAGTTTCTCTTCTTAAACTGTTTAATCGGTACGAATGCCTAACGAAAATATTTGATAATATCAATACAACAATGTCATATTGAAAACATAAATTATATTAATAGGTACGTTTGATCCAAATTAGTGCGTGATGATTTATTGTGCGAGCTGTGTCATACATAAACAGTATGGAAATTATAACCTAGGTTAGACTGTTTGTTTGAAACGTGAGTGAATTTCAAGCTCTGTAATTATACTTTTTATCATGGATAACGTAAAAAATTTCGAATCGAACAAAAATTAATGGTTATCTGACTTTAAAATTTAAAAATATTCAATAATTAAGATGACGAAGTGCATTGAGGTACTTAAAACAATGTGATAGATCACCTTTCGCAAGTTAATGTTTACTTTTAGTTGGATGATATATTTCTATTAGGAGGTTATTGTAAGTTTTAACTACCTAAAAGTAAAAAAATCATAAATTGTAATAAATTAATTATTTCATTATCATACTCGTTCCTAAAACAAAATCTTTAATTCAATATGGATCGATATTTACGGGAAAAATAATGATAATTCAACAAAAAAAATGTTCATATAAAACTTTCAAAAATACTGTTTAAATGTAAATAAGTCTTTAAACTGTATAGGGCACAACATGCTATCGGAATATGAGACATTTACGAGATTAGTCATATTTTGTACACAGTAAACGCAAGCAGCCCACAAACTATAATATGACCACCTTTAAAGTTTCGAAAATGTCAACAAGTGTTTCTGATGCATTCGTGATTCATTAATTACATTTAAATACACGAGCCACACCATACGCAAATAAATTTCAGAACCATAATGTTTTTTTTTTTTTTAAATTACGAGTTCGTTAGTCTTTCTACTTTGAAATACAAATTGAATATTATAATATCTATTAGCTATCTATTGTGAACACTAACGTTGTATTTGTTATGTAAGTACTAACTTTACTCGAACGCAGAGTAACCTTGCCACCGCACCTGGCACAACATCTGATACCACAATAGTTACACAAGTGTCCTACACCATCGGCAAACTTGGTCTTCAGGCATATGTGACAAGTTGCGTCCAATTCAACCCCAGCTTTTTTCTGCTGCTCGCTGCGCTGTCGAATTTTTTCCTCCAACAAGATAACCTCTTCTTGTTTTCGCCTGAAAAATAACACCACGTTAAAAAATCAACCAAGAGATACTATTTAAAAATTATCAATCAACTCAAATGTTTATTGTTCAAACAAACGCGTTAATGTTGCTAGTAAACAGATAACCGTAGCGAACATTTTGAACTGGTATCTTTGACAATCGCAAAAAAAATACACTTATTTTGTATATTTTTCTCTACAGAATTTTATTTCGAAAAACAAATAGCAGTGTTGATACATAAATGGCAGCATCTCGCGTAGCTGTAGTCAAACAGACCAATATGCCGGACGACATGGTAAATTTTGCCATACAGACCGGACAAAAAGCAATAGACACGTTTTACACAGAAAACAATATGGCTAAATATATAAGAAACGAGTTTGAAAAAAAATATTTACCAGTCTGGAATTGCGTGATCGGAAGAAAGTTTGCTGGGTACATCAACCACGAAACTAACACGTTCATATACTTATACATCGGTCAGATGGGAGTTATGATATTTAAGTCATAGGCTTATAATTTGTATTATCGATAGCATAAATTTTATTTAATCTTTTGCTAATTCGTTGTAATAATTTATATAAAATTTACTTATTAAATACAAAATAGTTCGTTGAGAATTAACCATATTATTATTTCGGTGAAGATTATTTGATCGTTATGAGTTTTTTTATAATTATGCGAACCCCGTAAATGTAAAAATCTCGAATCTCTAAATATGTAAATATTAATTCATTTTTTTCAGACAAATTTATAGGTTAAATGAAAAATATAAAGCGAAAGAATTAATTATGTTAGTGATTCTCATAATAATAAATAATAGAAGGATATCAGTTTTTTAATTTCAAAACTAAAAATGTATCTTAAAGAAAGTCTATTTTTCACTTTAATAATAATATAATTTATTCGAATCGCGTAAAACAGATAGGAAGAAAAATTAACCTATTTGTTGTCAGTAAAAAATCGTTATTAAACAACATAACAGACTAAAATGTTTTTCAAAACACCTAGTACACGATTTTATATTATTCTTTTAATAAATGTCAATCAAAATGAAAAGCTCTAGACACTATCTTGTTTTTTAGTATTTTTGACTGACATAGTTTGCTTGAATTAATAACGTTTAGATCAATAGTTTTTTATTTAAAAATGATACTGTATAGTAAAACGTGTAATGAAACAAAAAATGTATAAAGATACTCCAATTTTAAATCCCATCACTAAGAATGTTATATTACTATCGGTGCGACTTATATTTGAATATAAGTTACTAAAACATTAAGTTTTTTACACAAAGTTTTGGTGTTTTAACTATCAAATGTACCATTAATTACTAGTAAAATTAAATATTACAGAAAAATTCACAATTTACTCATACATTATGCGTTTAAATTATTTTTAATTTTATAAAAATATTCAATCTCTTAAAATAAATTCACGCGTTTTTACTTATAAATCTTTGTTCTCGCGAATCATTGCACTTCTTGTACTTAATATTTATCTTACTTGCATAGCCATTAAAATTACATAAATCAAACAGTGACGCAATCAAAATTCAAATAAAAAAAATTAATAAAAAGTCAAAAATATTCCAATCATACATTTCATTTGGTTACATCATTAATAACTGTTACTAAGCGACAGTAAATTTTTTTATTTAATATACAGAACCCTAAAAACTTACTGTTTTCATAGGAAAAGTTACATTTCAACTAGACTTGCTAAAATATCCAGTTTTATCATTGTCTGTATTTAATACAACATTTCAACTATAAAAGTTATGACCATAATATTTTTAGATATTAGTATAGAATATACAATATGTGTTGTTTAGGGATTACATATGAAGTATTTATGTACTGTATTTATAATTTAATAAGTATTATATTTTAACTAATATAATGTGCTTTATACCAATTTATACTACAGTTTACGATATTCATTATGAAATAATAAACAATAGCTGTGTGTAAACTGCAAGAACAATAAAAATAAATAAATAGGTTTAAACTACTGTACAGTAAAAAACCTAGGGTGATTTTAAGCCCCACCCTATTTGCGCCTATAATTATCAGACTGAATTGATCAGAAAATCGGGAGCAGAAGTAGATTTAAAATTAATTTAACCCCTTATACCCGTCATTTAAGAAGTAACAATAGAAATAGTAAAGCAATTAAACATTTTTCCAATAACTTTGTAACAAAAAAAAAAACTAAATAGACAACAAAAGAAAAGAAAATTAATTTTTTACAATTACAGTCCCCATTTAAAATTTATCAATAATATTCTACTCATTGGCTTTTCAAAAGAGCCAGAATCTCTAATTGGAAACTTGATCTGTACTCAATGTTAAATGTATAGTTCGTTCTAAAGATTTCTGGATCATTAAATTTAAGTATTGTTTTATCAAATACATTACTATTTTTTGCAAAATATACTGTAAGCCTAGAACCAATTTTTCTGGAGTAATGATTCATGCAATGATTTAAATCACTAACATAAGAAATGCTTCGATTTAAATCTGTACATAGTGTATAATTTTACAAAATTCATGGATAATTCTAAAAGCAACATGAATTTCTATTACCTTAATTATATCCTGATTAGTAGTTCTTTAATTTAAAAATTTAATATATTGATAAATACTTAGTAATTTATAATTTTTATTATAGTAATAAATCTTAATATGATATTCATATTCAAACATTTAATACTGTAAATTTTACAGAGAAGTTATAAAGTATTTATATATTTCATTACTTCTATGGCAAATGTCTACAAAAATTGTAGTTAAAGTGCTCAATGCTAAACTTTTCAGAAAATAATTAAAAATAATTTGATCTAAACTGGTTTACCAAAATATTTTCATAAATTACGAAAATATACTTTTTCTAAACTAATTTTTACGCTGATTTCAAATATGCAATTAGATTTTTTCTATCACTTTGAATTTTTTAGATTATTACTAATTAGTAAAACAATTAATATTTACACGTTAAAAAAAAATAACCAAAAAATCTAGGTTAAAATGAAATTCAACAACACATCAGTGGACAAAATTATAGAACGATAACAGGCCCGGAATATTTCTGAATATATTATAGAATATAACTACAGAATATTATGCAATGGTTTTTATACCAAAATAATATTTTTTGTATGACTTCGGAGAACATTTACATACAGAAGACAACTCACTTTTTACTTATAATACGTAACATAAGCTTTAATTTAACAATGTTTGAAGCTAAGAGTATATCCGAAAGATTTTTAAAAGTTAAATTGAAAAAGTTCTATTTTTTACTCGTATTTTTCAAGATTTGAGCCCTTATATATGGGAAAATAGTTCGACTTAAAGAAAAGGTATATCGAATAAATAGAGTAAATATAAAATTTGTATGAAAAAAAAATCTATTGATCCGCACATTTTTCAAAAAATTATAGCAATTAAAAAATAAAAAAATAATCGAAAATTTAACGTTATTTAAGTACGGTAGCCATTTGCACATAGAAAAAGCTTTATTAAAAAGCTTTCACATATGTTTGAAGTTCGGAGTATTTCCGGAACATATTCAAAACTTAAGTTAAAAAAATTAAATTTTTGTGCAAAAGTTTTTACATGGAATTCTCCTCTATAAGTAGATAAAAGTTAAGATTTTCAAAAAATTTACATCAAATAAAAGGGAATAACCTAATTTTTTTACAAAAAAATTTTGTTTCGTTCATTGTTAAAAATGTTATGGCAGCTTTAAAAAAAGTTTTATAAATAGTCAAAATTTATCGATTTTAAAAACCAACATTTTTTTTAGGATTTCCTCAATTTAAAGGGAACGAGAGAATTTTTGTCAATTTACAATTTGGGTGTGAGCAAATAAAAAGTGGCGACAAACACAAAAAAAAACACGTCATAGTAAAGTTAATACCTCCTCAGCTTCGCATCAAAGCTCATAAATCTAATTTTAACGTCCCGTAAACATGAAAACAATTGCATAAGCGGCCTTTAACAGAATTGATTGAGAGGCCCAAAAAGTCGCAAATAACATTGTTTTGTAATGATTAAGTAAATGTATTTGTATGCAGTAGGTTAATTAGAAAATAATTTCGGGTAGGAAGGGTAATTTTTTTTATTGGCTCGTCATAAAATTTCAACTACTGTTTGTATGCAGCAAGATATTTCATAATAAAATATGGCGTGGCCCATATTTCATATATAGACCCATATATTATGGATCAATTCTTTTTATGCAGGTCTTCAAGTTTTAACAGTTAAAACTATTATCATTTATCTATAACCATGTTTTTTTGGTAAATGTATAAAATAAAGCAATAAAAACGTTTTGATTAAACTTAAAGGGAATTTAATTTTTAATAAATTCTATAACTTTGATTACACATAATGTAACGGTAATACTATTTTGTTGCGGTTCGTAAACAGCGAAATAACTAAATTTTGAATTTATTAAATAATAATAGACGTTTTCTGCGTAAACCTATGTTTTCTACATTGTCATGTATAAAAACTATCAATTCATTTGATAATAATTTCTGTAAATCAAAATTTGATTTACTGTTTAATAGTATCTTATTAAAACGGCGACGACCAATGCGGCGGTAGCGGAGTAAAGTTCAAAAGTTCAACTTATCGCCACTGCCGTCGTCGTTGCCGCCGAGAAACGGCGGCGGCGGAGGAGGTGGTACGCACGCATCATCATCATCAACGTCGTGGCACTGCACCACCGCCACCGCTAACGGTATCAGTTTTACCAACCTCATAATTTCCTGTTCCTTCTGTTCTTCTTGTTTTTGTCTGTGCACCACCGACTCGATGATCTCTCGTTCTTCGGGAGTCAGGTGCGACAGATCCGGCATGTCAGACGCCATTCTGTGCAGTATCCAACACCAGCATACGACACTAAGCGCCACCACCCGGCACAACGACGGTGCTATCTGCGTCCCGTGCGCCGGCAAGGCTGTCATCGTCAGCCCATGGACGTGTCGCGCTCGGCCATACCGTCATACCGTCGTATCGCCGTCCGCATGGTGACTTATGGCCGCGATTTACTACGACAGACGGTTTACCGTCACTGTGACCTATCGTCGGTCTTGACGACAAAATCCAAAAGCGGATCTTCAAACCATTGCCGATACAGAATACCGTTGCCCGACGGCCGTAAACATACCAACCTGAAAAAACAATCGCCGAGTCCTTTCAGGAATATTTCGCACTATACAACACCAACACACGATCGTATAAAATTTTTCTTTTCCGTTTCTGATAAATCTTGCTTGTCATTCACGCACACACACACACACACACACACACACGACGACCGTGTTGCTCACTTACGTCATAAGGTCCCCGAGTATCGATCGGCAGCAGCAGCAGCGGTGGCTGTTCTCTCTCTCAATGGACACGCACTCCGGAGCGCAAGCGTACGCACGACGGGAGGATGATGCCTAGGTAGTACCACCGGGTAGGTAGTGGCAAATACTCTGTGCGGCAGATGCTACGCGACGAACACTGAGACGAATGATGTAACCGTTAACAAATCGGCGGGCGTGTTAGCGAATCGACCAACACCGACGCACTGACGCCCAAAAGCTCTACGTGTTGTTATATAGTAAAGCGTAAAATCGCCTAGCGGCAATAGTCAGAAGATACAATACCAGCTGTGTTCGCCGTCGCCGGTTTGGGTCAACAACGCGACACACGCCGTTCAACACAAAATAATTAGAAATTAATATCGGTGTCGTCCCCTGCCATATAATATCATTATTATTGCAACACCAAACCTGCGGCAAATGGTGATTCCGAGTACCATGTGTCTACGTGCTCGGTTTTGAATCTCTCCTGTGTTATATTTTCGTTTGTTAAAAATATACACATCTCTACGCATACAAAGTAAAAAATACAATTTTCTCGTTAATTTTTAGGTGAACATGTATGCATCAGTAAAAAGTGATGAAATATTAGGCTATCAAAATAATACTCAGTTTCCATATTTGTAACACTCTTTATGTCTCGCGTACCGTTAAACTGGTAAATGGTTAACTATCAACTTCTTTTCAATATCGGGAAAGGTGATCTTGTCCTCTCAAAAAGTTGTCGTAGCCCTAAATAATAATTTATCATACCTTTGTTTATACTGCAACAGTGCGTATCTCAGTTTTTTAGATAATCAAAAATAATAAAATTTGAATATGCATTTTAATACAAGAAATGATTCTATTTTCAAAACTATCAATAGATCTATTAGTCTCACAAAAATAATGTAAAAAAAAAATGTCCAAAAAAATATTTTATCATTTTTATTATTATTGGTGCGTACTGCTGCAGCATAAGCGACAATATGTTTTTAGGCTTCTTTCCTAATTTTTTCGAATTTACGCCTATGAATATAATTTTAAAATAATCATTTATTCTCAAGTAATGTCTTTAATTTAACAGTGATTTTTTATTTTTTATATTATTTATTCATTGATACATGGTTAAATATTAATTTTTTTAACTTCTGGTTTTGTACTTTATAATAACAATATTTCTGCCGAGTACAGTTAATGTCATTAAACGCCAGAGTATATTATTACTTGTTCAGTATATTAATGATAGTATTATAACATGTTTAAGTGCCCACATCTTGCATAAAATGTATATTATTGTACAAGCTACGCAAGTCAGAATAAAGAGGGAGTCGAGGGACTCATCAATTATAAGAACTTGTATTTGGTTTCAGTTTAGAGTACCTATAAACCTTCATGAATTATGACTAATAAATACTAAGTTTTTCAACATAAAATTCATTTGAATTTTCATATACACGCTTGTATATACAAGTGTACAATCTTGTGTTAAACTAAAAGTTTAATGTGTTAACGTACATTTTTCGAACGTTAATTGTCATTTAGATACTATTTATTTGCTCTATCGATTTTGTTGATATTCTTTAGTTTTATAGTTCTTATTTCCTTCAAGGTACGCATCAACAAACAATTGATTATATACCTAAAAGTAAATATACAACAAATTTAAATTCAAAGTTTCATAAAAAGTAACCCAAGATTTAAGAGTTTCTTAAAACTCCTGATCTTTTAAACAAGCTACTCACCAATCGATTTTAAATAAGTAATTCTATAACCTGCCTAACAATAACAATTAATTATTTATTACATTACATTAAATTATTCATTTATTTCCATTCATAAATGTAATTTCGATTATTGTTGGTATAATGTTAACATTTTTTGCCCGTTGAAATGAATCAAAATTTTATGCCGTGTTCACTTTTTAAAAGAAAAGGTAATATAATTTTTTAAAAATACCAAAACCTTGTTTTCTTAAAAATTTTTATCTATAATAAAAAATTTTAATTTTAGTATGTTTATTTTGTAAATTTTAAAAAATGAAATTTTACAAAATTGTGCAAAACTGTTAACTTCTAAAATTATGAAGTCTTATAAAATATGTAGTTTTTCATTTAGTAAGTTGAATTCCGCTGGTGTTTAATTCTTTCATAGATTCCCAAAAGATAGCAAATATGAGAGTATTTATGTTTATTCCATTTATGTGTTTATGATTTTTAAAATGACACCATTGATTTAAGCAATGTTGTGGAACACTTAAGTGTGTACCTTGTCATACTAAAATTTACTATAGATTAAGCTACAAAAGATATAAAAAATACCTATTATTCATAAAACCCAATTTATAATACATTGTTTTATTTGTTTTTATTTTATTAAAACTTCTCATAATTATATAATCTATGAGCTACTTATCTAATAACCTAATAATAATAATATTTTTATATAACTATACTTTTCGAAAATCAAAATTTCTCATTAATATTTGTACACTAAAGGTAAACTATTCCATGTTTTTTTAAATGACGTTATATTACTTTTTAAATGTATATTTAATGAACATTCAAAAGTAATCATAAGTTGTTTTTAAAAAAAAATGTGATTTGGTATAATTTAGTGCTGGTGGTGTACGGTATAATAACAATAAATTTATATTTGTTTTAGGTTAAACTGCAATGCAATTTCAACAAATATTTCACCACCATATATCAATAATTTAACATTCTAGCACATCAAATATATTAATTTTAAATTAAATTAAATGCTTTCATAGGCAAAAGTTTTAGAAAAGAAAAATTTAGATGTGAAAACATATTTTCCAACTGTAAAAAAATCAATCAATATTACTCAGAAAACAAATGAAAATTATTTATTTTCATAATATTTTAATTAGTTGTTTAAGTTTTGTTTGTATTATATAGGTATTTTCACAAATAATATTATATAGATCATCTTTATTGTTAAGAGTGAATCCTAATTATAGTCTCAATAAAAGAAACATTTAGGTTTGTCAACCTAGCTTAGTCAATTGTTTTTCGATGCATAGGTACCAAGGTTTGATTCCATTGCTGGGCTATTATAAATAGATTTCTTTATCATCGTGTTGCAATTATTATTATATTTATTTAAAAGAGCTACGGCAGCAAAGGCCATTGGCCTTATTTACATATATATTTAGAACATAATACAATAAATTAGCTATTTACATAATTAGATTTGTTTAACAAAGTAAGTGATTAACAGTTAATTTCTATCACATATAATATCACCGATATTATATTGAGTCAAATAGTTCATACCCTTAGGGAATTTTGTCATCTTTTGTACAGAGATTGGGCAAAGTGGTAATAATATTGTTTATACAGAATATATTATATTGTAAAAAACTACAGTATGAATTATAAAAAAATTAAAACCTAAAATTTTACTTAAAGCTATATTTTTTTCTTTAGCATGTTCATTTTTTAATTTTTTGGAATTTAAATACTGTAACCAATCCCTTGTTATTATTAAAAGATTATTACGGTCTTGGAAACAAGCAATAGACCATTTTCTTTTAAATCGCCCAGTTTTAAGTGTTAAATTGAGATATATTGGTGTGGGCAACGATCCAAAAGCTTGAGGAATGCAACATGATTCCTAAATTGATAATTTATGATCAGTGTCGAACTAATCTAAAGATTAGATCATTGTTTGTAGTGATTTTTTAAGTCACTAGGACTGAGTCTTATTACTTTTAAAGTATACTTCATTCATAACACTTCTCATTTGTTAAAATCCGTTATGAATAATTAAAAAAAAATATTTATATACTAATAGATTAGAGGAATATCGCTGACAAATGTAGTAGACTTGTATGATTAGGATAAATTAATTTGGATTTGCCCCCTTTTCTGCAATGAGGATATATTTAGCAATTCAACTATTTAGTCTCTCAGTAATATGAGATGTAGAGCCTCTAAAACTGCAACATCCATGAAATTTAAAGATGACCTTTATTATATTTTCAACAGCCTAAAGTTTCAATGAACCAAAAAATTCAGATTATTTTCTCAACATGGCAGATAAATTCTTATTAAACTCAGAAGTATTAAATGTATGAGAATGTTATGGATTACAATGAATTGAGTTTAAAGTATTCTATTAAATATATGACGACAAGGTTAACCCAAGATTGTATGGAAAATTTATTTCTATTTTAAGAACAACAGGTACCAACAATGTTACTCCTGATGCTTCAAAATTATTTTCTACATTACAGGTCTAATATAGTGTTAAACCAATCAAAATACTATAGCTGTCAAGTTGACTATGCAAATATATTTCTATTTAATACAAAAGATTTAAGAAATCTCTAAAGACAATATTTAAAATGACACACTTCTTACATCTGTAGATAAACTGGAAGAAAATGTACTTGTTCATTCTACATTAAATATAAATAACATTCTAATGAATAATGAAGATGCTAACTATTCATATATGCTAGTGGATTTGCAGTTAATTAAATCAAATCAGGTGTAAGGAGACCTTGGCCAACCAAACCAAATCAAATAGCAGAAAATAACTCATTATGCAAGTACATTCTAGAAAATGGATATTTGATGTTTAAAGAATATGAAAACGATAAAAAAAAATGTTTACCAAAAAACATAACTTTAAACTTTACTAAAAAATTTCAACACTTATTTAACTATAACATAAGCAAAATGTTAGAAAAGTTTAAACAAATTTTAAAAAAATTATTGAAAGTCCATTACAATAAATTATTTGTACTTTTGTATGAATTTATTCATCATTAAATTTTTAAATATGATATATAGTTGCGTAAAAAAATGAATGGTTATTTTGAAAAAAATTAAACTTACATCAAAAAAGTTGTCCATGCCTAAATAAAAAATTTTGTTTAAAAAATTATATAACCAGTTGTTTTATCATTTTCATATTTCATAAAAATGTTAGGATTATACTTCCATTTATTATAGTATATTGATAATAATTGATTTTAATCAATGTGTTATAATTTATTTATAAACATATCTTTAAACACAGGTATTTTTATAAAGTTATTTATATGAAACACATTTTTTAATTACTATTGTTAATAATTTGTTTTTTCTATTGTTTTTTATCATAATAATTTTTGTTTATATTATTGACACTGATAATTAATGTTAAACAAATCTATACGGTTTATTTATTTTGATTCTTGGTCAAACTAATGGTAGGTAAAAATGTTCTACTGAATTATAGGTCGTCTTCCGATGTTTTTATTTTAAAGTATTTGATAAAAGTTTCCTATTTAGACTCACTAATCTCATAATTGTATGATATGATTAAATTACTACCATGGTTGTAATTTGATTATAGGTTGAATACCACTGTTCGTTATTTAAATAACGGAATTTTCACAACAAATGATCTTGTAGGTTAAACAGAATGAAAATTATGTTTGATTGGAATTTGATATTTTTGTTATGGTAACGTTAATTACGAATTGTATGAAATAAAATTTACCGGTAACATTTTACTCTTAATTTCTTTATAGATAATTAGTTTTTAACATGTAAGTAAAAATTAATTTTTAATTATTACAGTATGTACTGGAAGATTTTCAGATATATTTATTATTTTTAATATCTTATACCTATTTAAGTATCTTCAAATTTAAATTTTCATGTAAATTATCTCCCTATGGATTTACAGACGCCATGAATGATACTATATCAGATCAAGAGCTGCGCCAACGTTTAGCATCATTTAATGCTGTAGTTCCACCAGTTACTGCTTCAACTAGAAAACTTTTGCTAAAAAAACTTGCAGATCTTGAAGGTAATAGATCGAAAGACAATGCAGAAACAAGTAAAATGCCTCCTCCTAAGCAAAAACCCAAAACAACTAATGGAACAAATGAATCCATTATGATATCTTCTTCCGGTAATAGACCTTCTCAATACACAACATTTGATAACACTGATAGTCCTAAAAAAAGTCCACGACGACGTCGTCAGTATCGTGCTGCTGATCCTTTTGACACTGGATCTGACTCTGATATTGATAATGCTTCCCTTGGCAGATCTGTACTAGCTACTAGTCCTAATTTACCTAGTTCATCGCCTAAAACACATGAAACTTCATTAATGAATGTTTCTAATTGGAATGCTGTGAGTGGAGATGAAGATCAAAGTATATTCTCTTCTCCTGGTATGTGATATTTCAATTAAATTATTAAAATTATTTTTTTTAATTGCATAATTATTTTTAAGATACCAAAAAAATTCCAAGTAAAACTAGTAATTTACAAAATAATAAAAAAATCCTTGGAATTTTTGATACTGGCGTAAATATAAGTCCAAGAGAACCTGTTATAAGAAGACCTCGTTCAGGACCTGTGACTGAAACTCCTCATGCAGATCAAGCTATTCAACGATGGAAAGAAAAAATGATGAATCAGTCTTATAGTAAGCTTGCAACATTATTATAAGTAAATAACACTGCATTAGTGCTTAAATTAAATTAAGTTGAAAAAATAGTATTTCGAATTTTAACTTTTAGCTTCAATGCAAATCTGTGAAAGTATTTATTTACTATAATGTTTTTATTTTTTTGTCTGTTGCCACTTTTTTTACCATACTCATTTTTATCAACAATACATCAAATGATCAAAATTTTTATATACTCATATATAAGTATTTGTGTAGAACATATAAATTGATTAGAAACTAATTCAAATTTTGAAACAAAAAAAAAACTTTTCAACTGTTTTGAAATACTGTGTCTTTTAAACATATGTTTAATTAAAGCATGAGCTACATACTATGTTTTAAAAAACAATTTTGTTCAGATGAATTATCTAATATATGTAAAAAGCTCCCAAAGCAAAAAAAATGTTATTTTTGTGTTGTTATAATTTTCTATTTGATTTTCTATCTTCTTTATTTATACTTATACAGTTTTAGTATATTGAAGGGGAATAAGTATTTCATTTTAACCTAGCTCCCCTTTTACAAAAAAAGAAATTATCAATATTTTCAAAAAAGATTTTTTGCAGTTTTTAATATCCACTAAGTATATAAAAAGAATGGTACATTTTGTAAAATAAAAATGTTTGTTTTATCACTAACAGGGCTAGAAATAAAAAACTTATTCTATAAAAGTTGGCTTTCTAATTGCCAAACTTTCAAAAAATCAAATGTTTACCAATTTGATTTTTATTTTTAATAGATTTTAAATTTATTTAAAAAATATGTAGAATTCAATAAACTTTTTACTAATATCATATTCAGAACTTTTATCGTTCATCAGGGTAGATAACACTGGTCAAGGTGCATTTTGGTCCCAACAATCTTTTTGATGATTCCAATTTGCCTTTAGTTTTTAATATATTAATAAAGATATTGGTAAAAATTGAGTTCAATCCGTCAAGTTTAACCTGTTTTTAAGGAGTTTTAAAGTTTAACTTAAAATAAAAAGAAAAAAAATTAGTAAGAACTGGCGGTGAAGAGTGGGTGGCTTCTATTTTTAAAACTAAATACTTCCTGGCCATATTCTTCCTTTCACCTAAATATGTCAATAACTTCTGAAATATTGGTCCAAAAGTTGTTATCCACATGTCATTTTCTTAATTAAATCATTATCTATTTAATAAGAGTATTGCCATTTGAGAAATTAAATTTGACACCTTTGTAAGATATAAAGGGTATTGCCATTTGAGAAATTAAAGTTGACGCCCTTGTAAGATATAAAGGGTAAACATAAAAAAATGTTATGATTGAAAAATTGATGGAAACATTAAATTAAAAAAACAAATAAAAATTACATTAGTATTATTATAATTTTTTGATTAATTAAGTGATTTGTGATAAGTAAATTTTTTAAGTTATGAAGTTCACTCTGTATTTCTTAAATTTAGTTTGGCTTAAAAAATTTACTCTATATTAACAAAAGTTGTTATATATTGAATTTATAAAATAGACTTATTGTTAAGCTTAAGACGCTCAAATATTTAATAACTAACTAAACAATTATATAATAAATATATGTTTAAATTTAATATTAAGTCTATTGTTTTAAAATAAATAATTTTTAATGTTATACTTTTTATTCATTAAAATTAATTTTTCTAACTTTAGTTAAAACCTGTCTTAATGGACATTAATTTTGATTTGTAGCCTACTAATTTAAATAATGTGATGTGATTTCAATTTCTAATACCTATAATGTAAACAGACGTCTATAAATATAGAAGAATTAATTTTTTTCACAGATAAAACTGACATATCAAATACTTCACAATTCGACATGCCATCTCCAATTTCGCCAATTTACACTCAAAATTCAAGGTTGGTAATTTATTTTAAAATATTTTTCATTTCAGTAAATCATAATTATTTTGCTCAATGGTATAAAATTTTACTCAATTAGTCTAGTCAAATTAAATTTTATCAATAATAAAAGTGAAGAAATTAATATTTTCTGGAGGCTAAATCTAACCAAAATGTTATCATAGAATGGCTTGATAAGTTTAAATTTCGTCATAGAACTGGACAACTAGATATTAGTGGAGAGAAACTTAGTGCAAATAGTGTTATCTTGTTTAACTTCGAAGATCAAGTAAAATTAAAAATACAATGGGATCTTAAACTTGTTAAAGAGCAAATATACATCTGTGTTGAAACCGAACTCAATTAGAAAGCTTTTCCAAAAAAACTATCATAATTTTCTGAAAAAATGGCCCAAGATTTCAAAGTTAAAAAGGATTGGATTACTGTAATGATTTGTGAAATGCGACTAATAATCATAGATTACTCCAAATGGTTGTAGAAAAATCTAAAAAAATTGAATTTAAACACAATGCCTATAAACTATAATACACAGAAAAGTCCTTAAATGGACAAGACCATTTTTTCAAATTGGTTTCATAAAATGCTTGTATCACAAGTGAAAACTGTTCTCAAGGAAAAGAATTTGCTTCAAGAACCAATTCACCTTATAACCAATATCCCAACACATCCCTTTAATTAATAAAAATGTGATGATGACAAGTTAATATGTCTCTTTCTCCCAGTAAACACATCCCCCTTATACAGCCAATAAGCCAAGGAATAATTGAAAATGTAAAGTGTCTATACAGAAAATGTTTCATTGAAAGTTAACTATTTTCTGACGATTCCCTAGATATTACAAAATATTGGAAAATCTATAGCATAAAAGATGCTAATTTTAGTGTTGCTAGTGCATGAACTGATCTTGTGTGTCAAACCTGAAGATAGTAAGGAATAAACTATTAGGTGAGCCAATAACACTAACAAAAGAAACTAAGACTGTAAGTTTTGACGAAATTATACAACTATGCAATGAACTGAACTATGAAATATCAACCACAAAATTAATTACAGATTGGTTAAAAAAATGATAAACATGATGGAGGATTCGAAATAATGAACAATAATCAAACTGGTTTGAGGTACAAGATGAGGCAAATACAATACAGGTCATACTTCTTTGTAAGATATGCAACATTGCCTCTTTCAAAGCTTGAACTTCGAAAAGATTTTAAAAAAATGACCATTTTGCATAATTTAATTTATTTATTTATTATAATAAATAATTATTTAAGCTGTTGATTGTGTCAAATTTTAGCATACAAAATATATTTTTATTTTGTTCAATATGTTTTTGTATGTTTGCCACAAAATTTTTGTTAGTATCACTGTTATGGTCATGACGGTGATAGTTAATCATAGTTCCAATGTATTTTACTTTTTTACATGTGTGTATGTAAATTAACTTTGGCAGTGATAGGTACCACTTTTCATTAATAATAATATATATTAAAATGATAAACTATGATACAACAATTAAATAAATTACGATAAAATTCCTATTACTATTTATTATTTATTACAATAAATTTTCATTTTCTTATCCTAGACTTCAATATATATATTCTTAAATTACCAAATTAAAGGTAAAATAAAAATAAATGTTATATCGGAATATTTTATATAAAACCATACACCTTGCTTCACTATTAAAACTATTTCTGCAATATAATTATTATTTTTAATTTATTTTCGTATTAATATCAATCCTAATATTTAATATTTGAAATTATTTATCTAGGAGATATATTCAACCAATTCAACAGAGACCTCATAGTAATAGCTATACAAGAAATACACAATATATTATCTTTATAGTAATATCATTCTTTGTGATCATTTTTGGTTTATATTTTACTTCAATACAATCAAATTCAATTGTATTGCCATCTGGTAAGTTAAATAATAGAATTTATTTTTTATTTTTGGAGTGAACATTTTTTAACTAATTTCAGGTATATTAAATTCATTATGTGCTAAGAAAAATCTTCAAGGATATGATTGTAATGCAGAACAAGAGAAAATTAAAACTTTGTACAATAATTTGATATCACAAGTTACTAATAGATATATAAAAAACAAATGTGAAAATCCAGATATTGATCCTACTTTAGATACACAAACTGTCTATGAACATATTGCTACTCATGAAACCATACCTGCACGTGAAATAGAAGAATTATTAGAACTTTTCAAGAGTATAGCAAAAACTAATAATGACTCTCCAATTGGTTTTGATACAAAATTTAAAATGAATGATACACCCAATGTTCCATTTTTTTGTGCAGTCAAAAACATATTTGCAAATATGTTTTATTTTATTGTCTGGTTGGGAATAGGTAATAACTTGAAAAATATATTGTCAATGAATTATTAACTTCTTGTTGATTAAAAAAATACATGAGAAACTCTTGAATGAATTTTTAAAACATATTAATCAATTATAACATGTATTCATAATCATAAATAAATTAGTATGTTATTACAAATGTTTATTTTACTTACGTTAATTATAAATTATAGCATTAGTTTTTATTTTGCCCATAATTTAATCCCCTCTTATATTATTTCACTGATTAATATTTTAAAACATAATTTATATTTTGTAGTTGGCCTTTCTGTTCTTGGGGTCTATTTTGGAATATGCTACTTTACTACAAAAAGTGAAAAACACAAAAAAGAAGTTAATACATTAGTTGAAAAAATTATTAATTTGCTGAAAGCACAAGCTCAAAATCATCCTAATGAACCTTACTTAGCAATTATTCACATTCGAGATCAATTAATCCCACCAATTGAAAGACAAGGTATTTTTTTTTTATTATTAAAAATTTTATTTATTAAAATTTTTTTTTAAGAAATAATTAGATATTAATTTATTTTATTACAGAGAAATCAAAAATTTGGGCAGAAGTTGAACAATATTTTACTGAATCTGAGTCTAGAATAAGGTCTGAAATTCAGCAAATTAATGGAGAAGATTTTCAAATATGGAGATGGATACAACCTGTATCTCCAGGCACAGCGTAAGTAAATATAATGAGTTTCAGTAAGATTTGGTTACAACAATTTTAGAGTGACAGAAATTTTTGCTCATTGTTTGTATTTAGAATGAACTAACACTTAATTAACACTGGTTAATGGATAATAATCCTCAAAAGAGGTACTTTAACCACTCTAAGGTATAGATTATTCTTGTATTTGTGGAAATAATTGTTGCTTTATCACACAAAACTCGTAATTTAAAGAAGAAAAGATAAGATTCAATTTTACACCTTTTATAGTTGCCCATAAACTTGTATGATTTTATGTACCAACATCTATAAATTGTTTGTTGTAAATATATATTTTTACCTAGAATCATATGGACTCTTATCAGAACCTAGCCATTTGCTCACTCTAAGCAATGTCTTAATTTAACCAATGCTCATTCATAATAGTAGTTTTCATTATATTTTTTTTTATATTTTCTGTTTTTTATCTTTATTAAATAATGAAAAACTAGTAAAACTTAATGATCAACTTGTGACTAATATTATTGAAATTTTTTAAAATATTATAAATAAATAACTCTGAAAGTTACAAAAGTATTCTGAGTAAATATTGTTAATATGTCATCATCACCACTAAACAATTAAGGCACCTCTTCCAAATAATATATACTGTAATATCCCTTGTGATGTCATCATCTATTCAATTTTGAAGTCATTGTTGCCAGTTTATACTAGTTTTATTGATGATTTTTGTGTAAACTCTTTAACGTTTAAAATGAAAACTAAACTTCTGACCTGTAATAAATACTGTAATAAAATTGTTGTGTATGGTTTCATATATATTTCGAGATAATTTTAAATGGTCATTTTAATATTTTTATGAATTACAAATGTTGAGGTTAGTCTTTTAAGACTCAAGCCATTACCATATTTAATGTTGGCATAGATTTTGATTTTGTATGTTAACAATCCACATGTCTATACCTCGTATTCCTAGTTATTTATTAAAAAGTCTAATTAAATATTTTTACACTACAGAAAACAAATTTGGCAAGGCCAAGCATTTGAAACCAATGAGGGTAGTATGAATTCTCCACAGCCAAGTCCTACATCCTGTTTAAAGATACGTCATATGTTTGGACCTGATTCGTAAGTATATGTGTATCCCTAATCTAATAATTAATAATACCTTACTTTAAAATTAACAATGGCTCTAAAACTTTTCCTAGTAGAGTATTGGATAAATTACAATTATAAAATTATAAATCAAATTAACTTAAAGCTACTCTTCAAATAACTCAAACTCAATTCATAAAAGTTTATATTTACTCTAAAATGTTTAGAAATATACTTATGTATTAATTATAGATAGTCCTTCTCTAAAATATTTGAAATTATAACTTAAGAAATTATTTCATCTATAAAATCATTACCCTTATTAATATATTTTTCATGTAACTTAAAAAGTCCTAGTAACTCATTATTTTGATGTATACTGGTGTGGGAAAATTTGGTTTGATTATCTTTGTCTTTACCTAAAATTAATTCATTTGTAAATGTATCATTAGTTATATAATTTTTAAATGACATTTTCAGTATGACTAATATTGATTGTGAAACCCGTGTTAAAGATGCTATTTTAGAAAAATGTGAAGGTGTAGAATTATTACATCTCTCTGTAGATTGCAGTAGTCAAGAGGGATGTGTTTATGTTAAATGTTCTTCGCCAACAGAAGCTGGAAAAGCTTATAGACAGCTACATGGTTTCTGGTATGATGGTAAGTCTTATTTTTATTTATTGAGTAATAATCACTTGAATATTTTATAAATTTTTATTTGGGTAACTTTAATTTATAAAAATTTTACAGGTAAACTAGTAACTGTTAAATTTTTGCGATTGGAACGTTATCATCAAAGATTTCCTGATGCTATCAATAAAACTGTTCCTTTAAGGCCATCAAATAACGAAAGGCGTTCATTGCAATAGAGTACTAGTGGAAATTACTGTTTAATGTCACTAACATGGTTGTTCAAATTTTTAAATATACCATTTAAAATTACAAAAATTCTGCTAGTACTTCAATTTATTTATTATTATTTCTACAAATAACACTCTTATGACTTGCTATTATGTAATGTTGTTTATAACTCTTTTTTATTATTATAATTTCTATTTTAATCTTATTACTTCAACTCTTAATTATTTTAAGTTATTGGAAAAACTTGTAATTATTATTTTGTATTTAGGTTAATATTTATCAGTAACAATGGTTAATAACTATGTTTTACTCCTAATTTAATTAGCTACATTTTTTATATGTAAATGTTTAGTTATTTAAATAAATTAATGGTTATTGATACAATTTAAATATTATTGTAAACAATAAGAATAAAACTAAGACGTCAAACCAAAAACCTCATTGACTAATTAAGAAAATGGATATATTGAATCATATATTTATAAAACTGGGCATATTCAAATGAACTAAGAGGGACATTTTAAAATTTACTATCTTGATTTTTGAACTATGATAATTTTTTTTCTAAAGTAATATTTTCTGGTTTCCCCGTTCAGGCAATATTGAGGAATCCATCTCAATGTACCACCTCAAGTCCCATACAGGTCTTAATTAACAGAAAATTAAATAAAAAAATAAATCTTTTTTTCAATAAAATATATAAACAATCTTGACACATCTTAACAGATTATCAAATACGACACTATAACCAGCATCAAAAAGTTAAATTGTAGTATGTATTTTTACATACGATAATTGTAATTAATACTGTAACAACAAATAAATACAATTTTAAACAATCATCAAACCTACACACAGTAATTGATTTAATTTTTTTTTTCTAAACCTGAGTATAAATTATAAAAATAAGTGTTGCTGAATTAAATTTCTTTTTTAATTAGAACCATATTTTAGAAAACACTAAAAAGTATATGTTTAACAAATTTGGATTGTATAATTACCCATGATTGTGCCTCTGTATTAATAGTATCAAAAGCCAAATTTAGTTTTTTAAACTGATTTATTTTGATACGATTGACACATCGTAAGGGGAATGCTCCAGTATCCCTAACTAGATCTACTAATTTTAGAAGCTCGCCTCTATAAATAATTAATATTTTTAATAATAATGGATATAATTACCGCTATTAAAAAAAAACGCGCTACACATTATACACACAAAATAGCAATTAAATATACTGGTAGTCCGTAATCACTACACAGAATTACATTTCAGTAAATATAATAGCTAAGGGTAATTTGTGTTTGGAAAGAATGCATTCCTTGAATTTCATTCTTTTTTCATAGAATGAATTAATTTATACACCCAATTTTTTTTTTAGGAATGGTAAATGCAATTTCATTGAATTTTTTATGGATTTCGAATATTAACTATTCGTTCTAATTCAAAATATATGAATTAGCCATCTTTAACAAGAAGTTTAAAAAATACATGGTAAAACTTAGTGATAATCAGTCTGCTATAAATTAATAATCAATAATTGTTAACAAAGAAGTAGATTTTGTACATATCTCTTAGAAAGATTAGAGAGTTATCTGTGTATATTTATTATTAAAAATAATACCATTTTTTCACGAGTTATAATTCCGTATCAGTTATTAGTGTAATATGTGTTTACGAAGTTTAGCTAACAATAGTTTTATTGAAGTACCTAAAGGTACTCTAATTAAATGTTAATAGCTATATATAACGTGATACACCCACTCGTGGATAAATAATTTGTTATTTAGAAGAGGTGATAGTCTCTATCTCAAAAAAAAAAAAAAATTATATAAAACTGACTACTAAAATATAATTATCTTATTCCTAAATCTAACATATAGAATTTTTCTTAAAAACGTATTTTATCCACCTTTTACTTAAATCTAAATGTGCAAAATGTAGGTAAACTTGATGAATATCTTAGATATTTATCTAGTCCTCAATTAAATTGCATGTCCTAAAAGGCCGTCACACTATTTCCTCTTATTCTTAAACTCGCCAGTAAACATTTATCTTTTATATTCCTTACTCAACCATTACTCCACACCCTTTTTATGGATTCAATAGTTGAAACAAATTAATGTTAAAATCTTATCAAATTATATATAACAAAGTCATTTTTTCAATTAATGAAACACAAAAAACAAAATATATTTATTTATAAATACTGAAATAAAGTAGGTGTAGTCTGAGAAAATATTTTCATGTGGTAATTTATAAGTATATGAAGAAGTTTAATTTAAAAATTAGTGTTGTATATTATAAAAAAATAATAATTTAAACATTATATTACATTTATAAGATAATATAATTCATTTTAACAGAAACGAATTTAGAGAGGGACATGTGCCAGATATTAAAAATATAAGGCCATTTTTAGGCGTATAGCAGTTTAAAAAAATTATAATTATTACAATGGAAAATATATTATTTTTTATTATAAGTGTATGTATTTTTATTTTTATCTAAAATACTTTAGATAATATGATTAGCTCAAAATGAATTGGTATAATTATAATTATAAGGTATTCTTTTTTTTTTCTCATATATATATTGAAGAAAATTTTAGTCAAGTGAAAGAGCGTTCATTTCTTCAATATCTAAAAATAAAAACTTTTTAAATACGTTTGCCCTATAGATATAACTCTTTTTTAAATTAAAATTTTATTTTACAATATATATAATGCAGTCCCTGAGTTTTATGGTTGTCATAACAACAAGAAGCCATAACACTTAAGTATTTTCACCGCCAAATTCAAAATATAACAGATGCCGTTAAATATTTCCAAAAACAATGCTAAAAGAATTATATTAATAATATTTATACATCATATTAAAATATATATGACAATGGATATACTTAAATAAAGTGTTGATATATAAAGTTTCGTAGTTTTTCAATTTTTCTAATGTTAATTTTTACAATGGAATTATAGTTTCAGTACTTAATTAAATACATCTTATAAAACTACAAAATTGTTTTCAAAACTTGTCTTTGTCATTTTAGTGAGAAAATCTTTGAACCAAGAATTATCCAATTATCATTTAAAAATTTACAAACATCCGAGTTTACTCTTATTTATCTCTTATTCTATCCTAAAAAAATACTATACTTAATAAACTTCTTCAAAAACCTCCTTATCAATACTTTAAATCAGTTAAATATTCAATCAATTTTTTTGAAAATTTACTTATGTATATTGATAGTTCAGTGTTCCAGGGTCGAAGATGTCGTGAAATAAATAATATTATAAGAAAATTATTTTTGCCAACTGAATAATCTTTTAAAATTCTGTAACCTTTTTCCAATTTTTTATTTTTGTGGCAACTATGATTTGAAAAATGCAGACTGAATCACTTAAATATTGATGAGTGAGAGAAGCCCTCCTCAGAACGACTCGGTTGCACATTTACTTTATACATTAGTAAAAATCTCTTTATAAACTTCTTCTATCATTTTTCGGAATAGAATTCATGCGATAACAAACGCTTTAAAATTCTTATTGTCAATTATTTACCATTAAATTTTAATTCAATCCGACTCTACATCTTATCTTTTCAAATATACTAGTCTTATATAATATATGTGTTATCTACAAAAATATGTCACATAAAATAAAAAAATATATAGATATTTTGAACAATAATCGCTGTCTATTTCCAACAAATAATTTCATTCTGAAGTCTATCTAACAAACAATTTTAACAGCTGTTAATAAATTGACAAATGTACCATTGTAATGTAAATCGTATCAGTATCTTTATAATGATTCACAATACATCGTTTACTGTATACGTCTTACATTCATAACTCAGGTCACAATCCTAAGAGCACGTTTTATGTGAATTGTTTACAGATTCTGTACATTCCATGATACAACGTTAGTGACAAAAAGTAAACATTTCTTTAAGAAATCACGCTCGATTAATACATTTCAATAACAATGATCACTAATCTAATTCTAAAGAATTTTAAATAATATAAAATCAATAAGTTTGAGTACAATGATAATTATTAACATAACTGTACTTATGTAAAACTATCAGCAAGAATTGTCTAGTTTCTTATTTTTAATCTTTAAAACAACAATAATAATATAAGTAAAGTAAAGTAGGGATCCAGTAAAATGGAGTGGGAAAAAATTTTAAATCAATATTTATTGTAATTTGATAGTTATTAATATATTTGTTGTAAAACGCTTCCATATGCATAAGAAAAATATTTTTTTAAAAATGTATCATATCTACCAAAAATTATATGTTCTTGACTTTAGTTTTTTGATTACTCAAAAAGGATGTCACATGAAAGTTTTTAAACATATATTACATTAAAAATCTTTAACTTGAAATAATTCAGATTATTAAGATTAAACAACTTTTGGTACTATGCAAAATATTACAAAATCACCTAATTTTGTCAAAGATTGTATGATTTTCGGCTTTAATGTCTAATAAATTTTAGAAAAAAATAATATATCGACATTGATTGTTTTACGGCAACTGTAATTGTTTGAGACATTCCGCTTTAATACTGAGACCGAAATTTTAATATTACGCCGTTCATAATTAAATCTAGATCCGTTTTGTGATTTTTCGACAAAACGTGGAGCAAAATCTGTCCAATAGCGGCGAGAGAAATGGCGTACCGGTGACAAAAAAAAATTATTACATACAACATTATTAAACACAAAAAAGAAACGCAGCAAAGTAAAATCAATAGCTTTTAAGCTACAACATTAATTTTTATACTAGGAAAGTTAAAATTAGTTTTCCACATCCATAATTTTGTATAAAATTGTATAATAGTTATTTAACTCTCTATTTTATTCTGTCTTTCTGTAAAATTAGATTTTATTAGAGAATTTATTTCTGTTAAAAAACAAAACTATTATAAAATTAATAAAATTTAAAATAAATTTTAATTATTTTAAATTAACCAATATTGACTAAAAAATTGTTAATTTTACCAAGGTTTTTTTTTATTACAAATTTTCTTAAATTGTTTATACAAAGCTCCAACACCAAAAATTTCAATATTAGAATTCTGTAAGAAAGCAATTAAGTATGTTACCACTACTTAGTTATTCACTTATTACTACCCACTTACCTACTGTTATGAGTACAGTATTATGTATACATAGATGCATAATTTAAAATACTTTGGGTATACGTAATTGGGTAGTTACGTAATAACTACTGAACTGAAATATAGTAATAAGGGTAGTGCAATTATTTCAGATTATAATGGTGGTCGGTTGTAAAATTTTTATAAATTTTTTAGAATTAATATTAGACTATTTGTTGATTAATTTATGTATTCATTATGTATAAATAATGCTTAATAACTTGAAGAAAAAAACCATTTTTTTTTAAATTTTTATAATGAAGTGAAAAAGAGAGAATTGAAGATATTTCACCTTTAACAATATGTTATTACAACAAGAGAATACGGTTGTTATATAAAAATTTATAATAGAAAATTATTTATTTTTTGTTGTACTGTAAAAAAATTAAAACCTGTCACGAAGGGGTAAACGAGAATTTATCGTATGACAAGATGATCTTAGAAGGCGAAAAAGTCGTTTTAATACTTGTAATTTAAATTCACGATTAGGTGTACAATAAAATAAAATAAATATTTTGTAATACAAATTTCGAAATTGTATTGCCACACTTGCAGTATCATACAATTAAACCTATCCTATTAAAAACATGTAGAATAAGTCGTAACTGTATCATCATTGTTCAGGTAGTATTATTTCTCCAAACATTGAACTGCAGGATGCCAAACATTATTTACCACTCCCTTGCAAAACTAATTTTATGTGTTTCGGAATTTTTGCATTCATTCATTTATTCATTTCAAATACGGAAATATTTGAATGATTTTTATTAAAAATTAAATTCTAAATATAAATCTATTTATATCAGAAAAATTTACTAAAAAGCATAGTTTGAAAAAATATATTGGGAAGGGCTACATTAAGTTTTACTTCTCTTTAAAATTATATTTATATATTCTGTAAATAATTTTCTTGAATTTTTAAGAGATTTTAGCGAGCTCCCTTATAATTCTCGGGTTTTTAACTAATTAAGTTAAACACCCGAGAATTATTAATCTATTAGTCATTACTTTTAACTTATTCTATTAAATGTATTTAGATTTTTTCAGGATTGGAAACTTAATGGACGACATTTATTTTATTTGTTACTTTATCGGAATTATTTGCATCTCCATATTTTTATTGGCAGTATAATTTAATGGAGGTAAGCAATGAGGATTTCATTGTTTGTATCAAAATAGCATCTGATTTCACTATAGATTTCGGCGCTCTCAACAAAGCACAAAATTACTTAAAAAAGATGGTATTCAACCAAAGTTTTCCTTGGGTGAAACAAGTAGGAAAGATATGCGGTTAGTTTATGATATTTTTTTTAATGTACAATTTAACTTAGATACATTTTTACAGCAATTAAATTTTTTTTCTAAATTTTATGCCTTTCACCAAAGCATTTATCATTACGCCTTCGATGTAGCCATATTATGAACCAGTAGCTTATGATTTATTCTTATCAATGGACTTATGGTCATATTATTCGTTAGGGACAGAAGGCACTGTTTACGATATTATGAACTTAGTTTGAAGACTTTTTTATATATACAAAAAATACATTTATCAATGAGCATTTACTAAAAAGTAATTACATACAATTTTCATGACAATATATTATTTCAGTTAGTTATTATTAAAGAAGTCCATGATTTTAATTTTTTCAATTCATATTTTTTTGAAGCTAATGGCAATTATTAAGATGTATCTAAAAATAATATCTGACTCATTTAATTTTTTCATTTCAAATGTGAATTACAATAAATGGGTCTAAGAATTACTGATTAAAAATAGCAGAAAAAATGTATTTAAAAATGTTTATGATTGGAATAAGTATATCTCTGACGTCAGCATTAATGAAAAATCTTATTCATTCATATTGTTTAAGTAACCGCGTTCCTGTCGATAAATTTTAAATAAAAAATCACCCTAAATATTATGATAATAGGACTACGCGCAATAGCCAATAACGAAGTATATACATAATAATAACCCAACTTACGGTAAAATATCCCTGTAGCGGAACCACACTGTACGGTCAGTATGCAGGGCGTGGCAGCACTCGCAACGTTAGTCAAAGGCTGTGGGTTGTGCGCTTGCGCGTAGAGTTAGCGTCACTTTTGACTAACGCGATACCCGGCTGCAGCAACGCTTCCCGTGCTCCGGAAGACTGTCATTCGTGCATTCGAAGTCGCGTATGTTCTACCGGTACTTGGTGGATTTTTTTTATATAAACATTTTGACGTTTGTGTACCGAAGCATTTTATATTTTTTTACTCATTTATAGAATATTGACCTGTGTTATAAGTTATTTTTTTTTATTGTCATATTTTTTGATATAAAAACATTTTTTTAGTATTTTTTAAATAATGACAACGGCGACAGAAGAGACGAAAAACGTCCCGCAGGACGCCAAAGAGCCGGTTAAAGAAGAAGTTACCACCACAGAGACCAATAACAAACAAGAGGCTAATGACAAGAAACCGACCGACAAAGATGATGCAGCACCAGCAGCGCCAGCAGAACCGCCACAACCGAAATTTTCTGTAAAAAAACAGAATTTCGAAAAAGATGTAGTTTATTTATACCAATTTTCTCGTACACCCGTTATTCCATCCATGTCTCCTTATTGTCTTAAAGTAGAGACATGGCTCAGGCTTGCTGGACTCAAATACGAGGCAAGTATCTGTTAAAGCATTAACTTAATTAAATTTAATTTTAACGGTTAAAATGTACACCTGTTCGATTTTGATATCAATGCAGCGTCTATTTTTAGTATTTGTTGTTACTTATATTTTTTGTTAATACTTTCTACTCTATTTTTTTTAATGGTTTAATTATCATTTAATTATATCAGTTATTGTTTAAAAAAACGCTTTTTTAATGATTTATCATTTTAATAATACATTTTACTTTAAACGCAGTACATGCTGTATGATTGGCACATTGGTAAAAATTTGTTTAAATCTCAGTAAAATCTTATTTTTTCTGACTAACTTCATTATTTTGTATAAAATAGCAGACCCAGATAAAGGAGGGAACGCCCCAGGGCCATGAACTTGGAGGGCGCATTATATATTTTACTAGCCTGTCACCATTTGTGAAATACAGTTTTTCTGTTTTTCTTTCGAATTTTTTATGGTAGCGATATTGTCCAAGGGAAGGGTGGGGCATATCAAAGTATCGACCTGGGGCTTATATAGGTCTTAATGCGGCTTTTATATAGATGAATTTAAACTGAATTATTAAATTAACTGAGATCAACTGATGATTTTTAGGTGTAATGAATGTTAATATTAAGATTCTTGTTTTTAGAAGAATTTAATATTATAATGCTCATTAGTAGTTTAATAATTCAATTTTTTTTTTTTTGAACACTTCAATTATTTGTGTCTGGATTTTATCAAATGGATAAGGAAATCAATAAACACGCAATTGCATTCATTAGAGGGTACAATTTATGAACTTAAAAACGAATTAAGCTATTTTCAGAAATGACTCATGTGTTTTGTATAGCCATAAAATCAATTTGTTAGTAGGACTTCTGTTATAATTCTCGCATGTGCAATTCGTTGGCTAGTTGATAGTACTATTTTGTGCAATTTTATTTAACTGTAACAATCAATTTAACAAATTATAAAAGAAGTAGTTTGTTAAACTCTAAACTTTAAAAAATATTTATGTCAATAGAGTTCTCTTAATCTATATTTTCTACTTACAAATTCACTTCTATGAAGTTTCTAGATAATCTATTACTAAAATTATTAAATTTTGTACAATACTTACCCATCATTTAAAACATTTTTCCTTGTTTACAGACCCATCCTTATGGACAAATTATTAAATTGTATTAAAAGTAATTCTTAGAGAATGTTTTCATAGATTTATTTGAATATTAGTAACACGAATATATCCAGCCAAATTCATATTGCTATTATAATTTTTTGTTTAAAGTATTCGATTTGAAAATTCTGAGTTTTAATTAAAAATAAAAAAATTTGATTATCTTAAGCTATTCTCGGTATTAGTATTGTTCTTATCTTAATTTTTCTTAATCATTTAACAGTTCAAATAAATTATACCGCTTGAAGACGTTTTAATGGATATTAAATGACGTTAGTTTAATTTACTTGGCTATTTATTGCTGTATTGTAGTAGAGACTTTAATAGCAGAAATACTATTCTGATAATTAAGAATCCTCTACTTATTTGTTCACTTCATGCGCACGTGTTTTCTTTTTAATAGATCTATTTATGACAACCAAAAACATGCGTATTATCATTATGTTATATTTCTGAAGTATTCCATTTTCGATATTAACAGCCATCGTGGATTATATGAGAAATTACTTAATATGGTAAATATGAAATATGGTCGTCTTGACATAATTTAATATTAGTCGGGTAGGCATTTACATAGTCTGATAACTTATCTAAAAATGCAAACATCGGGATTGACAATTATCTTTATCTGTAACTGATTTTGGGCGACCTATGAGGTCATAAACTGGTCGTTAATGTCATAATCAAATTCCTCTATGATAGCAGCCGGTCTATAAAAATAAAAATCTCTGCAAAACTAATCTTAAAATTGTTGTTAGTTTTTTAACTCAACCTTTGTCCAAACCATTAACAAAAAAATTTCTAGAAAAATTATGTTAGCCTGTTAACGTTCAGTGTTTTCCAATACAACTGCGTATACAAATAAACTGAGTGAGGCATTTTGACATATATGTTTTATTAGAGGTCCATCTATTATTAGTATCTTTTATTTATGTTTGGTAGGTCGTTAAATGAACTTATGTTTTTTTTCTTTTTTTTTTACTGTTTTATCTTACTAGTTCAAATTGTTTTGCTAGGGCTGTCTGCCATATTGTCTGAGAAAAATAGCTAGCTATAAAATGTAACTGCCCGATATTTATCGAATGATGTATCCATTGCGAAGCTAATGTGTGTTGAGTGATCTAGTCAAATTCTTTATGTTGAATGATTAAAATAATTCTTGTTTGATTGGGAGGGGAGTTGATTGATTATAAAATTTCTTTTATTTAAGTGGAAAATTTATATATCCGTGAAGGTGCGCTGCATTGACTTGGAAATATAAGCGGGTTTTTCTATTCTAAAAAAAATATCTGAATGTCTTAGTATCAACGACCGAATGTAGTATTACACGCTTTCACCGATTGCACGGACTACTCTGGAAATGTTTTATAGTTCTTATAATAAGTAGAAATCCGGTGAAACCGGGACGCGTTATACATTTTCCGCAATGAGACTTTGGCGTTTGTGGAAAATTAACTGATGTTTAGTTTTTGATCTAAAATTGACTTAAATAATTAATGAAGAATTTTATTTAAATATGAGTACACTAAAGATAATAATTATTTTCGGTGTTTTAATTCCCTCAAACTATCTATCGCCCAATGCGAACGGTTGGGTTTGATATTTGCTTTTGAAGATTATCAAAGAATGTATACTAATAAATAACGCATCTATTATCGTACTATTTATAAGCAATCATGTCAACTGGTTGTTTGGTATTAAAATAATGAAACTTTTATTCCATAGAAAGATATATTTTAGTATTGTTATGCATCGCGTATATTTTTCTACGGAATTTGTATTGTCTTCTCTCTTGTGCGTGGCTGGACTTGCGGTGTCATAATATTAATATTATGACACGGCAGTAAGTTATAAAATTAAGAGTATTCTGCTTGTTCACGTTATTTTATGCTCATCGTCCTGTCCTTGCTACGAGAGACTGATAATACCGGTTGTGCATAATTAAACTGCAAAAGGACGTTCTAAGCATGTGCAACAGACACTCTGTACATCACATAGATATTCTATTATCATCGTTAATTCGCAATCGGATAGTCTGAGTGCACACTGCATACATAAATGCTACTCGATGTGCATTTGCTAATAAAATAATAGGCAAATGAATGAGCAATGGCTCTTTAGGCCGTGCGTTGTGCTTGTTGAATTTCAGATAGTGCATATTTTGACATAGTAAAGTTACCGACCACTGTGTATAAAAAAGTCTATTTTCGTGCCTGTAGTGTGTAAGAGAAATATATGCCCTCTTCGTTGTTTACTTCACTGTCCAGAACGCGTTATTATTGCCGTTCGTGTACTTGGGCAGACACTTGAATGTGTGTTTGAAAGTAATTGTTGTAAGAAATAAACGCATCGTGTTATTATTTCGCACGTTTCCCCTTCGCCACCGTCATCATGATAATAATAAAATAATTGTCGTTCGGAAGCTTATTATTACTCTGTCGGTCGGAAATTTCGTGGGAATTGCTCTTCTGTACGGTGATCTACGGTGTGTTGTTTACCAAGTGTGTAATGCTCAACGTTGCAATAATAATAAGTTTTCGCTGCATCGCACACCAACGCCTTTTAATGTATGCTCAATATTTTTTTTGTGGAGACTAATTTGAAGAAAAAATGAATAAATAATGATACTATTTAAAAAAAAAAAAAAGGGTGGTCCAGAATATGACGTGACAAATATGGTTGTTATTAATCATTTCGTGGTGAATTATTTTTTTTTATTTTCAAGTTAAAATGTTTGTTATAATCGACACCATCCTGATTGTCAAATGCTACGGCTGCTGTATGCGCCTGTCTCTAGAGAGTGCGTTTCAAGTAGTTGGACGACACAATTCGTGTCGATTAATGTAAAATTATATCATGATGATGGTGGCCATAAGAATAATAGTAAATTTAATAGTCGGTGACTACGATTGTCTGTCGTCGACCCTAGGACCCTTGGACAGCATGTGCGTGTGTGTTGTGTATTTGTATATTAACGGAATACCAGCTTAAATATTATACGGTTGGCGTCCGTATGCCGCCGTGCACTTTATAGTGTGTATATTAATCGTAGACTTAGATAATGCTGTTGTTGATGATGAGACAACTTCCTCCGTACGCTGCACGCCTTGTATTCATCTGTCAATTAACCAATTTCTGAGAATATTGTATGCATTCCTCGTTGATATATTTTTATTAAGCTCCGGCGTGTGTGTTTAGACGACAAAAGGAGCGCTCACTGTCGGAAACGAGTCTAAATCCGTGTAAACGCGCGACGCCTCTAGTATAGTATGTACACGTGTAAAATCAATATGCGTCGAACAATACTTCTCGCTATCCGTCAATGCGATTCCGCTTACCAATAGTAGTAACGACGACACACGTTTTGTTCTCTGTGTATTCTTAGACACCATAATGTTTATATTGCCCGACGTGGTATCGACACAAAATGAATAACGTCTGAAGGGAGGAGAGGATGCATCACTAAATTCAATCCGCTCCTCTGGGCGCGATTCTTCAGTTTAATGTCCCGTTCGGCGCGTTACCTTGGCGTCCATTATTCTTGGAAAACGCGCAGTTTCTTCATTTTTATTATAATTACTCGTAATATTGTTCTAGTTTTTCTTCGTCGTGTACATAGAAATTGATGAGCGGATGCAGAAGGCACGGCGTCGATGGATGACGCGGTGCGCGCGTGTAACAAAGAGGGGGTGCTATTAGAATATAGTTTATTCATTATAGTGAACGTCGGTCGCCTTCGACGATTGTAATATGTGGAATGCGGCATCATTGAACCGCCGCCGTTAATACTATCACCTCCAGCAACCGGCACATTCCTCCGTTATTGCGTTGCTGCCGTGCATTTGGTTATAATTAACGTTTTTGATTTCGCTGCGGTTCCGCGCGCCAAACAATTCTTCCTCTCTTCTAGCAGCTAAACCACACTTTTTGTGCCACTGTAGTAGTAGTAAAGCATTTTCGACGATTGTAACGTAATAATTCGAGTTTTATTGGCCAGAATTTTTTGTTTGTCGATTTTAGCTCCAAATAATTAAGATACAAACTACCGGAATACGTACATCTTTATGGCTCAATTTTTTATCTCAACAATAATGAAAGCGTTTTTTTATCTGTAGTATGTATGTCTACGTGGAACCATTATCAACAAAGTGTGACTTTTTTTTACTTTATCGGCTCACCATAGTTGAATTCTCTAACATTTTGTGTACGATTGTTAGTGCGTTATGGCGAAAAATTAATATTTAATTTAAAACTCTGTATCCGATCGCCAACCTATTCAACTGAAAATGTTTTATTTGAAATCCGTTACTCTAAACATTTAAACATAAATACTTGTGCACGCGTGCAAAAATTTATCATGTCTTGATCGTCTTGTGCACGTTAAATCCGATAACGTCAAAATTCTCATTTTAATATTATTTACTTAAAAACGTGTGAAATATTCGTAAAAGTTTTAAGAATAAAAGAAAAACGCGTAAACGTCAGCGTTTTCTTTATTAAAACTTAATTTTCGTCGGCCTATTCCTTGTAAATTTCATTTTCACCGTTGGCGAGTTGTTTGTTTAAAGCCGACGGACTCTGTTTTTGGCGGTACATGATTATTTTGCTGCCTGTGTCGGTTTTGTATTGAATGGGGGACGTGTTCTCGAAGAATTTCCGTTTTTTACTTCCAGGGCAGTAGAATTTCTGTTGTCGCCTACTATTTAAGGTATGGCTAGAGTATTCCCTTATCTTTATAAGTTGTGATAAAATTTAAAAGAAATTGTTGATTGTTTACCAATAAATACTTTTAGGCAATTATTTATTTTATTGACGATGATCAACAATGCGTAAATTATTGTATGATTTTTTTTTTAATTCAATATTACTAGCGAGAATGTTATGAATTATAGATCGAGGTATTCAATATTTATTGAAATTTTTTTACGCGTCTACTATAAATTGTATGCCATTAGTAGTTTTATATGATCTAACGTTTTTATCAAAGTTGTTACTGGGTATTCTTTTAATTCAATATTAAAATATCATTGTAAAATTTTATTGAATTTTTGTGCAAATAAAAATGAATTATAGATATAAAGTTTAAGTATAATTGAGCAAACGTGTGTTGTTTCATCGGCTTACAAGTTCAACGCCGCCGCCGCCGCCGCCCGCTGGTTTGCATTGCTATTGAATAATAAAAGACCATTTCAATGTAATAATATTGTGCTACACGCTCAAAATAGTTTTATGGGAAAGGGGGTAGAAAAAAACTACCGTTAACGTTGACTGTACTGTAGTAGTAGTAGTAGTAGTAGTAGGTAGTGGTGGCTGGCACAATACGCGTAGGGTTCTAGCCGAGTTTTCTGTGTGTACCCGGGGTGTGTGTTAATGGTGAAGATCAATAACACAGTTGTCGCCGTCTGTACGATAAACTCCTCTCTCGTGCGCTCTACCCTTCATAGCTCGTGTACCCATAGCAACCGACTGTGGTATCTCCCGATCGTCCGGGGGTTCAATAAACCCGCGGTATTCGCAGTGTTCCGTTTGCTGCTGGCACACCGAGGATTTTTCTCCCCGCCGAGGACGACGGTAATCGTAGTGGCCAAGTAGGGTTGAACCTCCTATACACCAACCGCTATTAATGCACAAAACGTAGTGGCCGGCTTCTCCTCCCCGGTCTCTCGTGTGTATTATGCAACAGGGTTTGGGTAACTTTTAACTTGCACGATTCGCCCACTTAAAAGTCTATTTGGGCGTGTTGTTGTACACACTATGACAGTAAATCTGGTGGAAATTACCAGGCGCGTCGAGTCGTTGTAAAGTTTAACACGATATGTCTGTCGTCGGGCGTCTACAATTTCATCATCGGTCATATTTGTAAGGTTTTGCAAATATAATTTTGTCGCTGGATTTTTATTTTTATTTTTTATTATTATCATCATCACCATGTATAAATAAATTGATCCGTATTTTTCTCGACGGACAGCAAATCTGTTTTAATTGTTCATTGAGATCCATTAACCGCAGAATTAAGAAATAATCTAATCGTTTATAAGAATAGTCAAAAATAACCATAGATATTTATTACTCACGACTCGTATGAAATGCTCTATGACGATTACATACATTTTTTTTTTTTTTAATTAATTAATAACTCTTTCATTCACTATTTCATATTCATTGTGAGAGACGGTGATGTGTGTCTACATTAGGAGGGGCTACCTGGGGAAGCTGTCGGCGACAAGGGCGCCTCCGAGACGTTGCGTCATCATAGCCAATGAACTCGATAAAATTCTGATAACAAAAATGTATGTTATGATCTTATGTATACGCATAATTTAAAAGATATCTAAAGGTTATAGATGTGGGGTACCTAGAATTTTTGTTTTGAGTAAGCTAAAAAAACAACTTTTTAACACCTTTTTTGCTCAAAAAAATTTTTTAGTGGTAATATAAAATACAAACTTTACCTGAGCTGCTGCGCTTGAACACTGACGAGAGACTTGTTAGTGAAAATATTTTTCCATTTGTTGTTTATAATTGATTTAAATAAATTACATTGAAAACAATTTTTAATTTTTAAATAATTGTACTATTTTAATTATTTTAGAATGTTGATCACAAGATGAAGCACCGTTCCAAGAAAGGACAATTGCCATTTGTTGAATTAAATGGTGAAGAAATTGCTGATAGTACATTAATCATTAAAGAACTTAGTCAAAAGTTTGGTAAAGACATAGATGCAGCATTGAGCCAAGATCAACGTAACATATCACATGCAATGATCTCAATGATTGAAAACAAACTTGTTTGGTAAGTGGTTTTACTAAAGAAGAAAAAAAAAATTACCTCATTGCTTCTTTTATTTAGGGTGGTTACATGGTGGAAAACAAAAACCCCAGAAAATGTAATCAAGGGATATAAAGTGAACTTGCAACATGCTCTGGGTACATGGGTACCAAATGGTGTGCTCAATTTCTTCTTTAAACATAGTTATAGTCGAAGGGTAAGAAGTTTAGTTTGGTAAAAGTTAGTTAAAATCCAGGGAATTGAATTTTTTTTCTTTAATTTTTAAAGGGTTTGAAGAAAGTTAAGGCTCAAGGAATAGGTGTTCACAAGCCAGATGAGATTTTGGAATTTGGTCAAAATGATTTAAAAGTTTTATCTGATGTATTGGGTGATAAATTATATTTCTTTGGAAATGAACCCACTACTGTAAGTACAAAATTTTTCTCTATGTGAATGAATTTGTTAAAATATAAATTATTATTTTTACTACAGTTGGATGTAGTAGCATTTGCAAACTTGGCACAGTTGTACTTTGTAGATAAAGAAGTTGAATGTCCATTGCGTGACTATATGGTGGATAATTTTGAAAATCTAGTGGCTCACACAAATCGTATCAAGGAACGGTGTTTCCCTGATTGGGATGATATGTGCAAAAATCTTGATTTAAACAGCCATCTTCCAAAACCTCCTCCAGCTGAAGAAAAACCTAAAGAAGATGGAGATAAAAAAGCTGAAACTAAAACTGAGGCTAAGGACAAAGATGCCAAGGAACCGGAAGAAAAAGTGAGTTTTAAATATTTTTTATTTTACATAAAAACAGTCAAGTATTCAATAAAAATTCTAAAAAATCTGAAAATAAATTAAATTATTAGTAGTAATATTTATAAAAGTAAAAATAAATTTATAATTAACCGTATTATAATATTTTGTATGTACATTTTTTTACAACTGACTAAAGAGCTTTCTTTTTAACAGGGCGATGGTAAAAAAGATGGCGAAAAAGAACCTGAAGACAAATGATCAGCAATCACACTGGCTAAATTAAGACGGACTCATCACCATCATTTTACATTAAGCGATTTCACCAACATTTTTGACCCACCATTATTCTATTAACTAAAAAATCATACATGATATATTTTTAAGTTTCAAAAATATTGTGTAAAATTGTAATAACCTCTATGAATCCAATTTTTGAAATATATATATTTATATACAATACGTGTAGGTATGTGTATATATATATATAGATATACATATATGCATATATATACGTTACATATTTACGAGGATGAAAAATATTATACTTGCACATCAAACATCCAGTTTAAATTCATTGATTCCAAAAAGAATTAAAAAACAAATTAACTGGGGGGACAAATTGAAACTCTGGTATTAACGCATAATTTTTTAAATATAATTTTAACTAATTAATCAATTAAATATGTGTTAATAATGTGTTTGTTTGGGCCTTTGCTTCTTTATTATCTGATTTGGGGACCAAGCAAATCGGACCTCGATGAATTCCGCTTAGCTATAACATTTATTATTTTTAATTAATGAATCCCCATATATCCTATTTTGGTGACAATACCCTCTCTGTATGATGTAAATTTTTCTACCATTTATATAATTTTATATATATTTTATGTTTTTAAGTGTATAAATTAATTTTATTATTTAAGTGAAAGCAATGAACAAAAAAAAATTTTTCACTATGCCTATATTACTTTGTTTCCTTTTTTTTTCGAGTAACAATATGTTCTATGGTTATTATTTTATTATATTATAAACCTATCAATAACTATTCGACATAGCATTTTTTGTTCTCGAAATAAACTATTCTCATATGATAACTAATATTATTAATATTGATTTTTTTTTAAATTTATTTTATACTTTTACTATCATCAAGTGTAATGACAAGAATCTCGTTTGTATGATTTTTATATATATATATATATAATTTTATTAAGCCTTTAAAAATAAAACAAATTGCAAAATATTAAAACTGTTTATTTTATTTTTTCATGTAGTTTGAAGTATTCTGTAGCTATGTACAATAGTCAATATTATATTAAAAAATTGTAACTATTCATTACCATTAGTCTGTAAAAAGAGGATAAATCCAAAAATATCTTTAATTATTTTATAATTAGTAAATACATCATTAAGTGACATAAGTAGTTTAGTATCAGTAAATTTGCAAAAACTGAATATTGTTTTTCGGTACACAAAAAAACCAAATATTTAAGTTTCGATTTGAAGATTAGAAGCTAAATAGAAAAATATCTCAAAATTAAAATACCATACAAAATGACATTATTAAACAAGTTCTTCTGCATTTTAAAATTACTATAATTTTTTAACACTGATCCTAATAAATTTTTTATGCGCTAAACTAAAGACAATAAGTTTCTTATCGTATATTTTTTGTGAAAATCATTTAATTTTCTTTTAAATTTTGAAAATTAGACATTTTTGAAGTACAAGTATTTTTATCAACCTATAAATTTTTTAATACAATGAACAAGTACTTACTAGTTCTTGGGTATATCCCACCCGCTTATGTCTACCTTTTTAATGTATTAAAATTAGTGATTGGCATTTTCGAATATTTTAAATTATTGAATAACTAATTGTTTTTATAAAATCGAATAGTTTATTTTTAGCATAAAATTCTAAAAAAAATTATTTTTTATTGATGATAAATAATAAAAAATAGGCTTTTAATGTAGTCTAAGAAATGTGCTAATTTTTATGTAGCGTATGTAATTAGTATGACAATAATTGACTATATTCAAAGTTTAACAGATTCGCGTTGAACGGTTTTTATATGACAGTAATGTTAATCACTTTCAGATATCATCTTTACAATGACCCGCCCCACTGTACTTAGTTGTTTAAGTTGATATTATTCAAACCGAAAATTCGAGATTATTCGCTGCAGAATATTTGGTATTATTCGGTTCAATTTATTTAATAATTACTATTACATTTATTTATTTAACTATAACAGTTAGTAAATATTTGAATAGGTTTGAATATCCCATTTTAAAATCACTTCCGATATGAATAAGAAGACTATACGTGATCTATTTGTCATAAACCATTCAATTATTCACAAAATAATAGATACAATATTGAAAAAAAACGTCTGTTTTTTTTAATCAGCTTTACTTCTTCATTAAATTAAGAATAGCTAATAAATTTTATTAGTTGCTGATTACTCTTTAGTATCAACCGTTCTATAAACAAAATTGATTTATTGGCTAATTATTTAAATTTAAATTATATTAAAAATATTAATTTAAAACTAAAAATTATCAGTCAGGGTGTCAATATTTGTGAACGTTGATGATTGTACCCGAAAATTCGTATCCGCGATTTTTTAGTAATTTTTTTGTGCCCATTTGAACTAAATATTTTTTTAGTTTTAAATTAATATTTTTAATATCATTTCTAATAAATAATATTAAAGTCTACTAATTTTTGTATGATGTTTACATATTTAAATAGCTTATAAAATAGAAAATTATCTAATTAAGAAAATGATGGATCGATAACATCTTTTTAGACTAGTACTTCGAAAGTTATTAACATTTTTTTACGTAAGAGAAAGGAGTGTAACTGAGAAATGTCTTATGATAAATATTTTCATACTTGTGCCGTCTCCACTCTAAAATTTAAAATCGTCAACTTTCGAAATATGTTATTGGCTTGTCATTTTCTATTTATGTATAAGCTATTTAAATATGTAAGTTGCCATTAAAAGTTAATACCCCTATAAGTTATAAGGGATGATAAAAAGTAATTTGTAGTTAATATATCAAAAAGTATATAAACTAAAAAAAATGTATTATCAATATTGTAATTATTTTGCTATTGATTTAGTGGATTTGCTGAACAGATTACCTTGTATAAAAGCAATAGGTTTTTTAAAAAAATATATCACTTACTTAAATTAAGTTTTTTATTTTAACTATACAGTCAAATAAAATTTAATCGAATAGTTATGATGACGCCGAATATACTTACTCTCGAAGTAGTAGTTGAATACCGAATATTCGTCTCATCCTTAATTTAAAGATCACAAATTAGTTGTAAAAAATTATAAATACTAATAAAATATTTATTTATATATATAATTTTAATATGATTATAAAAACAAGTACCATGATTTTTAAATTTTAAAGTTATGTCTTTCCCGGTATTTTCTACGAAGGAGGCAACGCATAAAAAAAAGATCTTTTAAATAAACACCCTATCTAAAATGCAATTAAGTACAGTTGATAATAGTGGTAGAAAAACTTAGATATTACACTTATTTCTTTAAATAAAGCACATACAATTAATAATAAGTATACCAATGAATATAATTAAGTATTATCACAAAAATCATAAATGTTCACCTATTCTATCATTAAATTATAATACTTTAATGTTTAATTAAATTAAAATCCATTTATTAATATAGCAAAATTATTATTACTGCCATTCATTTTTGTCAGAAATAACTTTCATTTGAGAGGTGATTGCCTTTTAGACCGTTATAATTAGCATATTTAGGTTGTAAAATATATATTTTCTTATCATGTCTTTTTATGGAGTGAGCTGAACAGCCACAATTATATTGTGCCCTCTGGGCCTTCATCACACTGTAAAACAATTTTGTCAAAATTCTAGGTACAAAATTAAATTCCTCGACTAAAAAAAAATTTCCTAGATTTGTGATAACCGTGAAAGATTACCAAATCATGTTTCCTACAGAAGGCGTTAAGTTCATGAATTACATTTTATAATTAAAAAAAAACTTATCAATATTTGTTCTTTAAAATTAAATGATAAATGTTTTATTTTTCATTAGCTTTCACTAAAAGGTATTATAGCTCGACATACTTCTTATTCTTCCTCCAACATTCATTGCTACAACCGTTTTTACGGCTTTCGATTCTTCTCTCCTCATAACATGACCAAACCAACCAAGTCTATTTTCTCTCATCTTATCCACGATTGTCGCTACACCTATACTCTCTATTATATGCTCGTTCCTTATCCTATCTTCTCTAGTCACTCCACTTATCCATCTAAGCATTCTCATTTCTGCTACACTCATTTTCTGTTCTACTTCCTTATCAACCGCCCAACAACACTCTGAACCATACATCATAGTTAGTCTCACTACAGTCTTGTAGAATTTACCTTTTAGCCTCATTGGAATTCTTTTATCACATAAGACACCAGACGCTTCTCTCCACGTCAACCACCCGCACTTTATCCTGCGTCTTACATTCTTGTCAATACCACTAGCTCTTTTGCACAACTGATCCTAAATACTAAAAACTTTCCACCTCTCCAATCATGTCCTCGTCTATTGTCACTGGTTTCCTTATTTCACCTACCTCGTATTCTCCTTTATCAAACTCGTACTCTATATTATAGATCGAGATACATTTTTCAATTTAATTTAAGATGACAACGGTTTTACCCTTTCATTAATAATGTTCAATCCATTTTATTTGATATAAATGTTATTGTTAATCAGATAAGCGCATTAGCCCGGTTTCTTTTGTATAGTATAAAATATAGTCGGGCTATGAATTCGTTATAGCAAAGGATGGCGCATGCCAATATGTATGTACGAAATAAAGCATTATAAACTAAATTAAAAGTTTAAGCTTTATGTAGTTTTTATTAATTAAATAGTATATGTTATATACAGTTCACTCAGAGGCCAAAAACCAAATAAACTGCAATATATAAGGATAATTTATTAAATTTTATTGCAAGATAAACTTAAAAATAATAATTAATCATTAACTAATGATAATAGTAATAGTTATTAATATCAGAATCAAAATAAAACAAATATTTTCTATTTATAGTTGGTTTTTAATTTAATTTATTATTTCACTTGTTATGTTACATTAAATATTATCAATAACCATAGGGGGGGGTTATTAAAAAAGAATTGTCTTTATTTATAGAATAAAGTATATAAAATTTATTTGTATCAGATGTTAAATTAAAAATATCCAGTATTTCAGTTTGAATATGATAAAAAAAACTGTTATTAAGAGATAAGTTTAATTTAATATATATTGTATCATATACTATACGGTTAATGTGTAAACATTAAATTACTAAATATTTATAAAAAAAAGTAATCAAACAAATCATAATCATACATAAAGCTATTAATTATATTGTAATAATTATCATAAAGGATATAATAAGCACTACAAAACATACAAAGAAATATTTCATTTATCTAGACTAATGTATAATTAGGCAGCTATTTGAAAAAAATGTATCAAATTATACTCTGTTTTATACAACACAAGTGAGAATAATTTTTTTTTTTTTTTTATAACCAAGTCAACACAGTAATGCAGTCAATAGTTAAATTTGATTTTGATAGTTTACAAAATATGTAATCTATATAATTGTTATGAATACATATAAATATACATACCAGCATTTATAAATGAGTTTAAACAAAAAAGTTAGTCAATTGAGGTATAATAATAATTGAGACTTAAAACGATATATTTTTACTATAATGCTCATCTTAATTTATGTATTTAACGACTTGAACGACCTCTTCTTGCAACACCTCGACCTCGGGCTCCACCACGACCACGGGTTGGAGTTGTTTTTGATGGAGGAGGAACTGGTTCGGCTTCATTAACAGGATCTGTTTCAGACTCGATGGCAGTTTCAGGTTCAGCAGTAGTAGCTGGTTCTTCAATTTCATTTTTTTTATCATCATCCATTATTTCAACAATTGGAACTTCTACTTTGATTTCTTGAACATCATCATCAATTTCTTTAGTTCCGTTTTGATCTGAAAAAGTACTGTTTCCATTTTCTTCCAAACGGGCTTGTTTTTCAGCTGGTTCATTGTCTACCTCATCATTAATATCACCATTTTCGATTTCTTTTTTCTCATCCTTGACTTTACGTTTTCTATTATTAATTTTAGCCTAAAAAAAAAAAAAAAAAAAAAGTTATAATACTTGTCCTAAACAATTTAATTAATATAAATAAGTAAATATTATATTCATTAAATATAATTACATGAAGCTTAGTAATTGTTGTATAATTGATATAATGAGTTGCTGTCTGACAATGTAGATTAGCTTCATCGCTATCTTTCATAAATACAGAACATATACGACAGACAAAACCTCCAGTTTTGACTACAAGTTCACGACCAACAATATTTGCTGGATTATATTTTTCATCTTTTTCTTTCTTTAAGTCAGTATCATCTTTTTTAACATTTTCATTTTGTTCATCATTGTTGCTTTCTATTTCTTTGCTTTTTTCAACATCTATTTCCACATCATTGTTTTCAGAAGATTTGTTTTTTTCATTAGATTCTTCATCTTCTTCTTCTTTAATATCTTTATCTTCAATCATATCTGTCTTAATAGCAACAGGTATTTCTTCAGTTTGTTCATCATCATCAATTTGAATTACATCAAGTAATTCAAATTCGTCATCTTTTAGATCAGGATTATGCAAGCGCCTTTGTTCACCTACTTTACGCAAGTGAGCAGCTGATAATTTATGGTCATCCCATTCTAAACGTGTATGGAATAACGTATCACACATTTTGCATTCAGGATGTAAGAATTGTTTTAATTTCTAAAATAAAAATTATTATATTATTTCAATCAAAATTACAATATAAAATATTAAAAACTATGAATTTTTTTTTTTTTTTTGAAATAGAAGAATAACTAACATTTCATAATTCAGTTTTCTATTTTATATAAAAATAAATAGACATAGGTTTAGAAAGTTTATCAATTCATTAATCAAGTATAAAGCTATTTAAAAGTAATTTATGAAGATGATATTTGAATGAATGATAAACAGTAAAATAATTTTTACTTTAAGAAATCATAATTGAAACTCTTTTGAGAAATAATTCAGCCATTTTTTTTTTTTTTTTTGAAACAAGACAATCACCACTGAAAGGGAAAAAATATTTGAAAAAGAGTAAAGGCGATCAAAAAATAGGTGGTAAAAATTAGCTATTAATATTTCAAACGGATAGAAATTAATCTTTACAACTACACCATGATATTAACAAAAAAATACAATATTAGAACATTTTGTTTTTATAAAATTAATTTGAAAAAAAAAAAAAAAAAAAAAAAACACCTTATAAAATTTGATGCTATTGGTACAAAATAATAAATTAATTCATAAGTAAACTCTCAGGCTTTTGAATTTTGTTTACAAGTGAAGTTGAACTACAAAAACACTTTTATGGTTATACCTACTAGCCCAAAAATAGATGTATAGTTTTACAAAGAGATTTGTAAACATAAACCCCTGCACCTCATTGTTTTTATATACATAAAGAAAAAAAAATATGACAGTGGATTAATTTTCTAATGCTTTACAACTATATGTTGAGAAAAACAAAGAGAAATAATCCTTATTATGCACAAAAAATAAATAAATTTTCAGTATTACATGATTAGAATTTTAGAGTATTTAATTAATAAAAATAACTTACACGATGTCTATCACTTTTGCGATGTCCAGTTAGAGGACCATAGAAATTAATATTGCACATGGGACAATAGTTCTGAAACAGAGGTTTAGCTTTGCCTTTATTTTGAGCTTGCATACGTTCCAAATCAATTTCCCTTTGATTTTCAGCAGCTCTTATTTGATGACGCATAAGCTCAACTTGCATTTTATATGTTTCATCTAAATATGTCATCATAAGTTCATGAGGACGACCTCTAACATGTTTTTCAAAAGACTAAATATAAAATTTAAAAAACAATAGTATTAAATTCTGATTCATAAAAGTATACACATAACAAAGTATAACATATATTTTAACTTACAGCACCATCCCACATATGTTTTTGACAGACATGACAAAATAAAACTGCTGTTGGTATTCCATCATAATCTACATGCTCCTATTTAGAAAAAAAAAAACCCAACTGTCATAGTTTATAATTTATGTATTATATAAGTTAATTACCTGTCCCGTTGTATCCTTTTTTGTACTATCTGCATTTTCACCACTAAAAAAAGAAAAAAAAAGAAAAATGAATACAAACTCAAATAGTTTATATCAAAAGATCTTAATGTAAGAAAATTGACAACTTAAAAAAAAAAAAAAATATAAAACTTAAACATAAATATTTATTGTTTTAACATAAAAAAAAAATGGTGATGATTTGAATTGTAATATAATTTATTATAATGAGATATTTTTTTTATTTAAAGTGAATTACTCATTTTTTTGTTATTATTTATTAACAACACTCTGAAAATTATCAGCTTTATGAGTATTTTGGATCAAATATATATATTTAGGAAGATACAGGAGTAATTGAATAGAAATAATTTTTTGATATACATATTTAAGATGTCTATAAGAAATAAATAGAACTTTTATAAATAGTAATTCTCCAGTGATTTTATTTTTCAATGTATAAGCTAATTATATTTTCTAAGAATCTATAGATGTTAGATGTTTCCCGCTCTGAAGTAATGCCTCAAGGCAGTTCCAGGGCGGCTAACAACAAGTTCTACGTGGAAAAAAAAGATGTTAGATGTTGAATAATGTAAATATGGTAAAATAGTAATTGACAATCTTTAAATAAATATTTATAAGCTACATTTATATCATAATGAGTGTTTAAATTTAACAATTGTGAAACACCTTTATAGTATAAAATATAAACATGAATTTATTAAAAATGAAGAGTGAAAATGGAATTTTAGAAAATATATTTTATGATATATATTTAAAAAAATATTCATATGAAGAGTACCAATATAATTTTTTATAGAGAATTCAATTACATAACAAATAAAAATGTTGACATATACATTATCGTCAGCTTGAAACTATAACTATTTTATTTTAGTATCATAGTTATTTCATATTTATCATAAAACAATTATTCACCACATAAATTTTGAATTTCAAGTGAAATTTGTCACAATTAAAACATGAATTTAAATTAATATACTAAATACTTACTTTACTTGGTATTATGTACTAGGTTTGCTTAAATGTGTTGTACTCACAAATTCATTGAGTAAAAAAAAAAATTAAGTAAGAAAAATAATATACAAGTTATTCAGAAATTTTTAGGCCTGAGAAGATACTATTTTTTCAAATTAATGGAATGGAATATTCGGGCGGATAAAACATTTTACTGAAGTATTGCCAATAAACAGCAGCGAAGATATATAACAATATTTGTTTATATAAATCCGGAATAATAGATTTTATGAATTTATTCCTTACCTCTGATCATTTTTATCCGCTTCAGGTTTAGAATCCTTTTTCTTATCATCCTTTTTTGGAGGAGGTCTACGATTGCGATTATCAGGCCTGCGCCGGTTTTGGTTCTGATGATTATCAAACAACCGATCAATTATTGTGCCAGGAACGTATAGATTCGATAGAGCACAACAAATGAAAAAATAAACTCAGATGAGAATTTGAAATTTGTTCGATAATTCGATTGCCAGCGATACAAATCAGCCAGCTCCAGAATTCTAATTGCCAAAGGCAACAGGCCAAATTCAAAATAGCTAAAATGCTCATTAATAAATATAATTGGCATATCGAAATTATAATTTAAGAAAATTTAGATAAGTATACTATAAATATGATCACACACTGTACAAAACTTGTTTAAGCATGTCCCTAATAGGTTAATAGGATTTTTTTACCCTATCAATTTTAAGTTTCACATTTATTGGTTTAGTTTATTAATGATTTTTGCAAAACCTTAATAATTATCATTTTTTTATTAAATTATATGTTACCTTATAGGACTCTTGCCTTCTCATCATTCCAGGACTAGGACCCCAATTTTGGCTTCCTCCATATCCACCCTGTAATAACAAGATATTATTATCATAGCTCATTTTTAATATAAAATTAATTATAATTTTTATAATATAAAACCTAATAAACAATATTTTTTTTAATATAACAAAAAATTTTTATTACTTGATGATCATTTGCAAAAATTTTTGAAAGTAAATCACTAGCTAGGGCCATTTGATTTGGATGAACATTTGGCATCATGTTACCACCGCCAGGAGACACTCCAGATTCCCATGGACTCATTTTGGGATTTCTGCCATAATTACCGTAATTACTATATCGACCAGCTGCACTTCCATTATAGTTATTGCCTCCACCATAGTTATTACTACCACCATAATTACTGTTACCACTTTGGCCATAGCCACTACCTCCTCCATAGTTTCCACTATTTCCACCATAGCCACCACTTCGACGATTGTAAGACATTTTTCTGTAATAAATTAAGGATAGGTATATTACAAGTTAATTATATATATATATTGATTAGTGACAAAGTTACTTATATTTTTTTACACAATCTTATTATCTATAATACATATTTAAGTTAAGTTAAAAATTATGATTATAAATAATAAAAAAAATAAATAAAATTTTTTAAATTAATAATTGAGATTTAAAAATTATTTAATAATCATTAGATATTCAAATTGACACATCCAATGAAAAAGGTCAAACTTCATTTTTAATTTTTTGAGTTACGATTATATTCTGATAAAGAATCTTTTTCTTTATCAACAAAATGTTCGTATGTTAAGCTATATCTATAAGACATCATAAATTAACATATTTATCATTACCAAAAATGAAAGTTTCTTACAAATAAAGTTATATATATAAATATGAAAAAATATTTTTAATAAAAATTCAAAAATTTATTTATAGAACACTAAATATTAGACATAGTGATTTTCAATAAATTATCACAAAAAAATATTTAAAGATTTATTTATGTCTAATTTATATGAACTAATAGGTATATTTAAGATATGTAATTATAAATGTATAAAGGTACAAGCTCCCTCTTGGGTTTATTTACTTAGAAAAAGTATTTAGAATGATAAAAAATTTATTTTAATATCTAAAAATATATTGCCCCTCTTTCAAATAATTCTGGATCCATTTAGATTCATAAACTTAATTTATAATAAGCATAAGTACTTGATATGTTAAGAAATTCAAAGTAAATAACTTAGTTGACATATTTAAAAACGTATAAATTCTGTTAATACTATATTGAACTTTTAAGTAAAACTACAAAATTCTTATGTAAAACAATTTTAAGTACAAAAAAAAAAGTTTATATTTATAAAAAAAAAGATCAATTTCCATAGAGAATTAGGTAGACAAAAGATAAAATTTTTAAGATTCAAACAATGAATTATAAATTTTGAACATATTAAAACAATATTGAGTAATAATTATATTTAATACATAGAAGTACATAATGATTTTTAGCCTAAAAACTTATATGTATTAATGAACTAACATCAAGATTATCTGAATTAACTTACTGTTTGTTAAATTGCTAAGCTCGCTATTTACTTGACAAATAGTTTAACTGGAGTTTGATAGAAAAATTAAATTTTGGTGTCTAAAGATGATCACAACAGTTCAGAACAAGGAAATTAATCACAGAATACGCTGATGACGATTCGACACATACACAAACGTGTAACGTTCAATGGAGACTTTAGTAAATTTTATTAACACCACAAGTCACATCTAAAATGGCGGAAACCGACGCCGAATCTCATACATGCCTACGATTACGGTGTTACCAATAGAACGGAAGGATAACAAAATTATAGCGCCATATTACTTTATATGTGAAATCAAAACATCGTACTGTTTATTAGAGATGGAAAGTTTAGTTCATTTCTGTGAATAGTTCATTAGTTCATAGTTCATTCAAGTGAATAGTTCAAATGAACTATTCTTAAGTTCACTAATTTTATTGATCATGCTGATATTGTTTGGCAATGAACTATTCATTTTATCACTATTAGTATAGCAGTACACAGTTCAGTTGTAGTTCACACTACTTATGGGCAATTAAGTTATAAACTAACCCTTAACCTGAACATCATAAACTAAGAAAAAATTATTATTAATACCCTCATGGCTCATGTTATCATTATCACCTAATTCAAGGTAGATATACTGACCAGTAGTCTTAAGTTAAATCAGAAATTTGATCTAATATTTTTACATAGTATGAATTTATTTTATTGTTAAACAGTTAAAAACCCTGTAACATTTTAACAATATAATTTATTTGTTATCTAATTGTAAACAGCTATTAACCATTTACAGTATTTCGAACAACGAACCACAAAGAATTTTTAAAGAAGTTCGCGAACTATTTCATTTATACATTGCTACCAATTTTTTTCGAACTGTGAACTGTTAAGTTACAGGTACTGAAACAGTTCAGAATAGTTCATCTAAGTGAATAGTTCAAATGAACTATTCGTTCACGAACTTAACATCTCTACTGTTTATTTAAGTAGTAATTTATTTAGAGGACCAATTAGTCAATCATAAGTCGATTAACTAAAAATAAAATTTTGAATTTATAACTTATTTATGCTATATTATTTTAAAAATGAAGCGTAACATCATGTCATTGTTTAAATTCCATTCAAGTAAAACAATAAATAGGATTAAATCATTAACAGAGGTGTTCTATATTTAACACTCATATACAGACCGGTAAAAGGCTTATGTAATTAATGCACTTAATACTGCTACACAACCGTAAATGAAATGCAAAACAGGTTTTTTTCTACAAAATATAAAAAGTCAATTCCAACGTGCATTTACAGTAGCCGGTCATTGTAGAGTAAAATAAAATATAGGAAAAATTATACGATTTAATCAACATTAAAACACAAAGGGACAGTCGCCTCTTAAATCTACATCTGTATGTTACATAGTAAATCTGATTGAAACTTGAATATTCCAATCATTTTAGCTTCGATGCATAGCTAGAATCTATAGGTTTTTTTTGTGACTATCCGTAAAAAAACTTAGCTCTTACTAAACTTAAATTGTTCAATAATGCCATAAAATATCACAAATATAGTTGCAACTAGAAGTGTCACAGTTCTAAACAAATTCTCTTTATCGTCGTAATAAAGAGAAACATCATGGAAAATTGCAATTGTTTTAAAACCGTTGATTTTGACACTAGCATTCAATTTACATTGATAACAAAATGTATCAGTACATTTTTTTGACGGGTTATGGGTATTGCCACGAACTGATAATGCTCCGACATTCATATACTCCGATATTATAAAAAAATCCTTCAAATACTATTACTCCGACAACAATTACTGCCAATACCGGTTACAAAAATTTGGATTTTACTACGACGATGATTACTCTGAGCAGAACAATTAATTGATTGCTCCGAATATCGATTAAAAAATTATGAAATTTCGGAGTAGATGAATATCGTAGCAATATATTATCTGATAGAAAAATATAACCCTTATCGCTAATTATTACATAATACGTTTTTTTACTATATTAATTAATATAGTAAAAAAGCGTTATAATTGATTACTGTCTATTAACGAATAATTATAACAATAAGACTCTCGAATTGCATCCGACTTTCGATATGATAAGATAAGGAGGGAGGCTTTAAACTAAAACAATCCCAGTTATATAATTGATGTAAGCCCTTAAAAAGTTTTTTTTTTTTGGAGGGGGAAGAAGAGCGATTCTAAATTTCAGACTTAAAATTTTTATTTTTTGTCTCTCCTTATTAGTGCCCATTATTATAACATTTAATTAGTTGTAGTTTTTTCATTTACTAATAGGTAAAAAAAAATATAGGTGTGCATGTCACTGATGGATAGGATTCGTCATTAAACAGATGTTTTATATAAGTATTCGGTATCCCATTCTGTAAAACTTTCATTCCATTTAGTGTCGTATAAAATTAAACAAATATATGATTTAATATTGTTTATTTATTGATTTATTATTGTTTAAAAGTGAACAACGAAATTAATTAAGTCCAGTTTGGATTCGATCTTTTGATTGGCTGCAAACTGAAGAGACTTAAGGGGGCTTAGTCTCCTAAATTTCTGCCATAAAATATACCGCGAAAATGAATTAATTTATATTTCTTGTTGTATAGAAATATTTTTCTGATTAGTTCATCATTTCTGAAATTATGTAAATTAGAGTTCCCAAATATTTTGTTGCAATAGTCTACGCTCTAGTCAATTTAAGTAAACACAAGACAGTTATAAGTTAACAGTCGACAATAGTTTATGATTAATCATAAATTTACTTTACTCTTCTGTTAAGATAATTAATTTTAAACTTAACTAAGTCGAGTTAAAAATATGCAGTTGATTTAGTGAAAAATAGTTGAGTTTTTTTCATTTGTATGAGGATTACCTGAAGTTTTGTCAGTTGTTTAAAATAAAAAAATATAGTGAACGTGATTTTATTTTTTAGGAATATGCTTACATATTTTAAAAAGTACACATAAAATGAATTTTAATTTTTAAAAAAACTTCATTTTGTATTTATAGAACAATAAATTTGTATTTGCAGAATACACATTAAGCTAACGAGATGAAAACATTGGCAAAATAATCATCTTTTCGCAGTGTCGGCTCGGCTCAGGACGACCTCATTAAATTTAAGATTTTTTTCTCGCTGGACCATTGAGAATATTGTTTGAAAGGTTATTAAGGAAAATTGCTTCCGGGATCATCTCTAAGGTTCCAGACCGACACTATTTCCTAATCAAGATCGATTAAATCTGATCAAAGCTGAAAGTCATTCAAATGAGGATTATCTTTGAACAAAAGCAACATACGAAAACACTGTAAAAAAAATGTATCACCTATGGGGAAGACCTGACTGTGAAACATACCATAATTCGTTGTAGAAAATATACAAACATCAGAAACAACGTCATTTTCCTGAAAATCTGTACGAATTACTAGGACCGAACCATTAAGTCATCAAAAAAGTTATTTCTTCTTTAAATCAAACTAAATAGTATAAAAGCATCTAACTTCTTGAATTTTAAAATTATGTATACATAAATACCTATATTTGTAAATTATTTTGTAGATATCTAATTGTTATTTAACTTGTTAATTGCTATGAGCCAATAACTATAGCCTCTTAGTTCTTAAATAAAAAAATAGTGTTTTTATATATATTTTCCAAACACAAATTTCTGAGAATACCCTTGTTACTCTCGTATACGGGCATAGTTTTCTTTTATAAGAGTTAGTCCTTTCAAAATTCAGAAAAATGATATTTATTTAAAGAAAATATATATAATTTTTTTTGTGATATAGTTTTAATAGATTTTCCTAACTTATACACTGACCTTAAATTTTTGTGGTTAATATCAAAAAACTGATGAGTGACAAATATAGGTTATTGAGATTATTTTATAAATTTTTAGAAAAGGATTTTTTCGGCCGTGTCCGCCAAAGTATAACGAATCAATTACAAATAAGATTGTTTTTGCAACAAATAAATTTCTTTGAAATTTAAAATATATAGAACTTATATATCGAAGGAGAGTTAAAATAAATTATTTTTCAGCACATGTTCGTTGGGTCAAACAAAAACACAGTCGAGACGAATAGCATGACGATAATTCGCCTTTTGCCATTATTATTATTTGTCTAAACTTAAGCGAATAATTTTTCACTTCTATTTTAAATATTAGAAAAACCTATGTACACGATAAAAGACAATTTATTTTGTGCGTTTGAGAAGCGATAAAGATTTCCACATTAAAATCGCCTATTTTCCCAGATTTGCAAATATATTTGAAAGTACGAGTTTTTTTTTTGAATTGATACACGAGTGCAAATCGTGATCATGAAGGCTTACATTACTAATGAATCTTAATAGCAGAACATTCCAATAAATTACCTCCTATAAATCTATTTTGAATGTGACGATAACAAGGAATATACTCATTTGTTTTGGTGACAATTCGCCTCAAATAACATGACCAGTTGGACTTGGATCTAATCACCTGGGAATCTCAAAACTGCCAAAAGAGTGGCAATATGAAAACGATTTAGTTTATACAAGCAATGTACGATACCCATCTTTACCTAAGTCAAATCAGTGAAGTAGAATCAACAGCTTATTTTCTAATCTTTCAGTTTTTTTTTTCAATTTAATAATTATTTATTTTTTAAAACAATATCTAAAAAATGTCTTCAGGTACAACTCTTTAAATTACTACAGTAAAAATAAAAATTTATCCATTGTATAGTTTTTAAGCTTTATTTCAAAAATACTTTATGCATAATATAATAGCTGTGACTTAAATATCTGATTTAATGGGCAATTTCAAAATATTTTCTTTAAGATTTAGTGATATGTAACATATACGATCGATGCGCCCCATTATTAACAATACAATCAAAATATAACATAACTTTTGATGCATAATCGAACTATCAAACTATCGATAATGTCGGAGTAAAATCCGTCGTAGTTATGTTAGCCTATGGTATCATAGTCGGAGTACCAGATGTCCGAAACAATAATTACTTTGTCAAATATCGGAGTATTATCAGTTCGTGGCAAAGATGTTATCCCTTTTTTTTGACAATATTTTAAATTTTGCCGAAAACATATATTAATTAAAAAACAACGATGCCTTTAAAATCATTCTTTTATTTCAATTCCGTTTGTCAGAGATAAACCATCTATAAGTTCTATATTTTTTTTAATTATGCATGAAATAGTTTACCTATGAAATACAGGATTTTTAATAATGTTCCGAATTACAACAAATTAGCATTACATTGTTTCATATCTAAAGATAAAACTGCTTAAAAACTTGATATATAGAAGCTAAAGGCGATCATTCATATAATTTTCAATCAAATTTGTCTATTATGAAAATTTTGCTATAAAACAAAAAATTTACATAATTTAAATAAAATAAAAGCTTAATGTATTTCATGGTTTTAAAAAGTGAGACGTTTCAATGACTTGTCTTCTAAAAGTATTAATCTTCAAGTTGAAAATTTTGTATATTTAATTTGTAAAAATATCTTTCAAATACGTATCAAAGCGTTTTACAAGAGTGATTTTAATCACTGTCAGATATCAATCTAAAAATGTTTCAACTTTACTGTATTAACTTTTATTGTTTAGTAACATAAAAAGATGGAAACATATAATATAACAATTTAAGATTTAGTTACTGCATTTTCGCGGGTTCAATTTTTCCACTCCTTATTAATACATTATTTTAATAAAATTTTATAGGAAGAAATTATTTTACTCAGTACAAAAGCCCTATATACCATTGATTATAATTAAGTACTTTAAAGTATTATTAATTTCATTTTTTGAACTGCTAAGCAAGACTGTTCCGAAGCAACATTTTTTTTTCGTATGTGATAGGGGGGGGTAAAAATTAATTTTGATGACAGAATAATTTTTAAAAAATTGTAAGACCTTTTTTTTATAAAAACAAGCCTATTAATCGAAAAATTGCCAATGAAAATTATTAAATATGGTGTTTAGTAATGTGTGTCAACCCTCCTCGGAACAACCCTGTTGCTTAGGTACTTTGGAAGTCTTATATTTTACTTATACATCTCGGTATTCAAAAAAAAAAAAAAAATTATGGAATTTTAATTTTCTCTGAAAGTGAAATAATTAAATTAAATATTATTAATTGGCATAACTTTTGCATATCAAAAGATTTTAAATAATTTATTTTTAATCCTAAGAAAGACTAATATGCAAAATATCTTTCTTCTTTTGAATTATTCAAAAGATACAGCTAAAAAACTACAGAATTAAATTTTAGTAATTTTTAAACAACTAGTTCAATTTAAAATTGAACTTATTGAATTCATTTTCATTGATATAATAACTGTTATAAATTATGACTTAAAATAACATATAAAATTAAAAAAAAGTATTTTGATTTTTTTTAAAAATATAAATACATGTATCATACAAAAAAATTGTTTAAATTAATCTATATTATTCAATGTTTGAACAAAACTGTTTATATCATATTCTTCATCGTAGATTTTAGTATCCCAGAGTTCTGGTAAATTTTCAAGAACTGATTTAATAGATGTACTTGATGAACTAAGTTTATTTTTGTCCATTGGCGATTTATCCAATGAAAATAAGTCTAACAGCTGAAAACAGTTCATTAAATAAAAAATTTTCACAAATAATTGTACAACAAAAAGTATTTTCACTTAAAAATCAAGTATTATAATTAAATAGAGAATTTATTTTCAATTTTCCACGAAAATAGCAAAAATTAATCAGAATAATAATTTTTTTTTTTTGTGAAATATAAACATAGTAATACTTGAAAATGATTTTTAATAGTTCATAGTAATAGCAAATTTTTACTAATTATTCATTTTTAATTTACCTTATCAGTTCCCATAGTTTGTAGACTCGAGTTTTCCGAAGTTATAACTGTATTAGCAGTTTTTAATTTAAACTTCTGAAAGCTATAAAATGTAATAACAAGCATTAAAATTATATGAATATTTCTTTTGTATTAACTATTTACTTCATAATTTTTTCTTCTAGTGTTGACCTTGTTATTAAACGGTATACATTAACTACTTTTTTCTGACCAATCCTGTGTGCTCTATCCATTGCTTGTAGATCTTTCATGGGGCTCCAGTCATGTTCAACAAAAATAACCTATTATTAAAACAATCACGCAATTTTTATATTAAAAAATAACAATAAAAGTATAGATTATTATATAAAATAAATCTGTGTTTTATAAATCATACAGTGTCTGCTCCTGTTAAATTAAGACCCAATCCTCCAACTTGAGTTGTCATTATAAGTATATCAATAGATGGATCAGTATTGAATCGATTAACAAGTGAGTATCTTTGAGAAACAGGTACACTTCCATCTAAACGTAGATAGCACACATTTGGCATATGGGCTCTGAAAATTTGATTTTAAATACTATAATTTTATTATCTTTGTGTATTTTATAAGTTACACACTTAAAAAGATCCTCTTCTATAATATCTAGCATAGCTTTTAGTTGACAAAATATTAACGCTCTATGCTGATTAATAATAGGACTATCATTATCCGCTAAACCAATACCACAGTCCAACAAAAGTTGTCTGTAAAATCAAATATTTTACTGTTTGATTTAAACACATAATAATAAATAAAAATTGATTAAAGAATAATAATCAGATTATTAAAAATATTAAGTAATAAATTTAAAATTTACTTTAAAGCTGGTAGTTTTGCAGCATGTTGAATATCTGTTAATTTAGAATTAGTGTCTTTAATTTGCTTCATTATAAGTGAATATTGAGGATGTTGAGGAGTTAAAACTAATTTTGGATGATTACACACATTTTGCAAGTAACGTAAGGCCTATAATATTGCATTCATTAAAGAATAAATGAACAGTAAGTATTAAGTAGTAGCAAGTACTTATATAGTGTTCAGTAAGTAAGTTTACTTACTTACCGAACACCTGTATGTGCTTACTTGTAACATATTATTTTTATTTGTGGGATATGATAGATTTTCTGACGTTTCAGATAAATGCTTATGAATATGTGTTTTAGAAAAGTCTTCATAAAGTTGTTGTTGAATAGAACTTAAATCACAATAATAATCCTACAATTTAACAACAAATAATAAAATGTTACATTTGAAAAATAAATGTTAGAAAAACACATATTTTTACAATTAATATAATAAAATATAACCTGTGTAATTTTTGGAGGCAAGTCATTCAGCACATCTTCTTTCATTCTACGCAGAACAAATGGTAAAACTTGGCGATGTAATGCTTCCATTGCTAGAACTCCTAGAATTGTTGTTTATTTAATCAGTTACTAAAATTATAACAATATTATTTCAACTCACCAGCTTCTTGTTCTTTAGAAGAACACTTGGCATCTCTACTAGCCAATATAGGTTTACTGTACTTAGCAGCAAACTGTTTTTCAGTACCCAAAAATCCAGGCATTAAAAAGTCAAATAAAGACCATAACTCTAATACATTATTTTGTATTGGTGTTCCGGATAAAACTAATCGATGATTAGCTTTTAATTGTTTTATAGCCAAACTTGCTTTTGTTTTACCATTTTTTATTACATGACACTCATCTAATATACAATAGTTGAATTTAATTTTAGAAAAGAATTCTATATCTTTACGAACAATATCGTAAGACACAACAAATAGATTGTAATCTTTGGCAAGAGCTTGTAATCTAAAAATATAAAGATTTGTTGAAAATAATTTATATTATGAATAAATTATATTTATACTTTTGTCTTTCTGATGGCAATCCGGAGTATTGTAATGGTCTTAATACATCACGAGGTATAAATTTTTCAACCTCATAAATCCAATGACCAATTAATGTAGGAGGGCATACTACTATAGATGGTAGAGGAACTGAATCTGGAGAATTATTATCCTAAAATTATTTCAAACACATTTGAATTAATACATTAAAGGAAAAATGGTTGATTATCTTACTAATAAAATAATATGATTTAATAAATTAATTATTAATAAAATAACGGTTCGATTTTATGCTTTAAATATGATTTTTTTAAAATAAAATTTTAATTTTAAAATCTTAAACCATTGAAAAAATTGTTAGTCTAAATAAATAAATATGAACTTGTTAATAACTAAGTTGGCTTTATCAGAAATAGATAAAATCTATTTTTGAGAAAATTGGTGTCAAAAAATACAAATTTTATTAATGGTAGAATTTTTTTAATGTTTTAATTATAAATATTAAATATTGGTATTATTGAGTAAATTAAAGTTTTAACTTATAATAATTTAAACGGTCATTTGAAAACCAATTTAAGAAGTCGTTTTTTATAAAGTGAGATTATGTTAGATTAAAATTTTTTGAGGGTAAATATGTATACTGTAGTAGATTTACATTGACTACTAATTTTTTTCTATAGAAAAGGAAAAAATAATATTTAATTTTTGAAGTGTTTAAAAAAAAATTTAATTTAAAATTAGTACAAATAGTGTAAAATAACAAAAATATTTTTAAATTTGAGTTTTCTTATCAAAACATATAGCACAAGTTAATTATATAGTATCTTAAATAATTAATTAATCTACAACTTAGAGAAGGAGGATCAACAAATTTTGATTAGATCTGTGCTTTTATAAAACAGAAAAAACATAATATTATCTTACCATATATTTTTTGTTTTTGGTATAATGATCGCTGGCTAATATACATAAAGACTGTATTGTTTTTCCTAATCCCATATCATCACATAAAATTCCATGTAATTTATATTTATTTAAAAATGCTAGCCAATTTATCCCTGTTTGTTGATATGAACGTAATTTAGCATTAATTATAACTGGTACATTGAAGTCTTTAATTTGATTTGGATTAAATAGTTGATCCAAAAAATGTCTTTGTGACTCTATTAATTTACTTATATTATCATTTAAGTTTTGTGGAATAGGGACTCCACCATCTAATGGCATTAGCTGTATAAGTGTTGCAAAACATTGAGATGCTAGTTTTCTTATACTTTCAACTTGATCACTCAATCGACCTTTATAGTACACAAAATATGTGTTAAAATTAAAAAAAAAACTATGTCATTTTTATAATAAAATGAATTTTACAATAATTACCCAATAATGGTATCATTAATAATACAATATAGGGCACAATGTTTAATTGTAATTTATCAATTACACATATAATAACTTCAATAGCTCCTTTTCGTTTAACATCACAATCTGCAGCATCAAGCAGTGGTAGAACATTATTTATAATGGTTGTCATTGTGATCACCGAGTCTAAATCAACAGAAGCTGCTAAACATCGAGCTACCATGTGTCTAACTGATGAATATTGACACATAAGAAGGTTACTAAAAGTATCTAAAAGCTCTAAAAGCTAAGAAAAAAACATAAGAATATATTAATTAGATATTAGTAAGTAAATTGTTGTATTAGATAAAAAATTAAATACTTTTAAAGTATAACATGGGTGAATTTTTGAGCAAACTATTTCGAATACTTGTAAATTTTTAACAAGTTCTTGAGCTACTTCATCATTCATTTTTAACGAGTCATCATCTAAATTTGAAAGAAATTTATATTATTATAAAATAAAACACACTTTATGATAAAAATGTAATACTGTAATCATTCTAGTAACAACAAAAATAAAAAATCTAGTAACCTATTAAACCATATTAGTACTGGCTGATGATGTGTTTGTATAACATAATAAAATTTATAAATGCATATAAATCTGCTCTCTATTCATAGGTAATAAGTAGATGGTAATAATAAGTCATCTCATAATATTAACAAAATATCTGATTTCACTATTTAATTGTCATAAAATTTAAACATTTAAAAAATTCTGAAATTCAATATTATAGAAGACAGATTATAAACTCTAAAAGCTCTTAAAATTATGCTATAATTTTATAAATGTAGACAATTTAAAGCTAAGTACAGCAGAAATAATATTTGTATTAATTCATCTCTTTAATCCATAAAAAATTTGAAAATTAACCCAATTGAAGGATTAGTGCAATAACTGTTTACCTAAACATTTCTCAATAATCATGTTTTAAATTTTCTAATAAAAATAATTGTATTTAATTTGGTGACAATCAGATACAGTGGTGTATCTAGGGGGCTTGAAGGGCTAGCCCCCTCTGATTAGCTGTGCTCAACCAAAATTTTAAGTAAAACAACACCTAAAAAAAAGTCACTAAAATTGTTTTTTGGTATTAACTTCCCTTTAAAAATCCTGGGTATGCTACTGATTAGACATATCTTTTAATAGAAAAAGTAATATCATACATGACATAAAAATATCAAAGTTTATTACTAATATTATTTAATGTTTTGGATTATCTAAATAATTTAAAATTTGGACATAATTGATTATTGAATTAAATCCTTCAATAGTGATATATTGACATACTTTGATCATATGTAGAAATGTTTGCAATTTTAACATTATTATACACTATTTCAATTAAACGAGGTAATTTTTTTTGTAAATCTTCACCAAAATGTAAACAAATTTTTTGTAATGCATACGTAGCACCTTTTCTTTGCAATACATTAAGCAATTTAGAATCCTATAAAAATCAAAAAAAATATAACAGTCAATAAATAATTTAATAATAGTGGTATAAATTATACACAATGAATTACTATTTTCTATAATACATATATTAGAGTGCTCCTTAATCAAACTTATAAAATTTGATGCCATGTGCACAAAATTTTGTGTTATATAGAAAACAGAAAATTTTAGTATAATTTGAGGGTTCTAGCTTAACTTTTTCACATGTGTCCAAAGATTTAAAATTGACGAAAAAGGGTAGAAATTTAGATTTTATGTGTATCTTTTTAGATATTACAAATAGAAAAAAATTGCATAGAATCAGTATTATAGTAAATAACATTTAAAAAAAAAAAATATTTGTATAGATTTCTTTGTAACATAAAACTAATAAAAATGATACAGTTACAATTTTTATAAAAACTTGTTTTTAGTATATCTGTTTAAATGTTACAAATAGATACATTTTTCAGATTACCACAAATATTTAACAAAATGAAAACAAAAAATTATAAAAACAAAATTTAAATTAATACTGAAATTCCATTATATAAATGTCAAAAACAATGAATTATATTGTTGTATTTGTTTTATAAAATTAACTGGCATGTATTTTGTAACATTGTTGAAAATATGTTAGTCTAAAACAACTTTTTGTCTATCGTGTTTAGTTTATGCGATATTGAAATTTGTAAAAACAGTGAAATGACACAATAAAATAATTATTTTCTTCAAATTTATTTACATTTGTACTATTTATTAAAATATATATATTTTACATTATATATATATATTTACAGCATTATTCTTTTAACGCTACCATTCAATTTTTTTGTAAACTTTTTTGCTTTTGTAAGTTACATAAGTATCGATGGGAGGAATAGTAGGGCAAAAAATACCCAGTTATAAAAATAGCAACATCCTTTTCTCCCTCCAGTCAATACTTAAAATAATTTCTAAAATGTTTTTCTTGTTAATAACATAATTTTCTCTTATATAATCTAGTTAAATGTGAATGATGGTACTTAAAAAATTAATTTGATATCACTATTAAATATAAAAAAAAGTTTACAAATAATTATTCTTTTAAGAGAAATTGATTGGATAGCATTAAAAGCATAACTCTATATATAAGTATGAATCATAAGAATCACCAAATGTATAAATATAAATTTAAGATAAATAATAATATTTAATGGAATAAGAATAAAATTTTTAAAAATTATGAAAACATTTTTATTTTTCTAATTTAATTAAAATTATATTGCATAACTTATAATTAAATTTTGATAAAAAATATAAATATTTCTAAAAAAATAATTATTACTTCTAGCGTTAGATGAAACTAAAATTTAATTTTATTAGTAATTTTTATTTTTAAGTGAACATGACAATGAGAACATTATATACAAATAATTATATATTTAAATTATACCTGATTTTCATAATTTTGCACAATTTCTATATTAATATTATACTGTGTTGGAGGTCTGCCAGGTCCTCTACTTCCATTTCTCTTCATAAGTAATTTTTCAGCATTCTTAATATTTTATAAATGATTAATAATTTTTTAAAATTAAAACTAATATAATTTACCTGTTGAAGTTTTTGGTACATGAGAATCAATTCATATTTTGAATAGTCATCACCTCCCTAAAATAAACAAATTAAAATTGATGTATTAAAGTTGAAGTCATTCATAATATTACATTGAACTGATTAATTATTTAATGGAGTAAAATACAGTTTAATTCAAATTTATAATATTTTGACCCTGACTTTTTTGGATTTTTACTATAAAAAATTCAAGGTTTAATTTCATTTTATGCATTTTTTTTATAAATTATAAATGTAAATATTTAGTTTTTATTTATTACCTTGCATTTTTACTAATAATACTTTTTTTACATTAGAAAACTTGATCAGATTTTCAATATTTCATAGTAAAATATATTTAGTTATAGAACAAATTTCCTACATTGTTAAATGTAAACTCTGAAAGTTTAATTAAAATAATTATTAAAAATTAAAATGCTTAGGAAGATTTCAAAGCAAGATTTTTGTTTTTACTTTTTAAGTAATAATAATTTTCTGAAAGCAATGCAAAAATTATTTAACTTTTGAGCCTTATTAAAATCACATACAAGTTAATACATATATAAAAAAATTTAAATACACAGGTATACGACAGGAATAAATAATAAATAGGATTTCAAAGTATCTTATAAATAATTTTGAGGGTCGTTATTTAAAGATGTAGAGGATTAAAATTTTTTTTATCATAATTTCTTATTTCTTACTACTTTTGGTGTAAATTCAGAATCAACACATAAGAATGAGCATAAATTATTAATTATAGTTGTGTTAGGACATGATGATCGATTTACACATAAATCCATTAAAATAGCCAAATTTTCTGCAGATCTTCTCTAAAAAGTAAAATATTTAATACACATATAGTTAGTACAACTTTACAAAAGTTAAAATTTAATACAAATTCTTACTTGTAACATTTCATTTGATTCTTTTTTTAAAGATTCCATTAATGGTTTGACGACTGGTCTTATTTTCTCTGGAAGATATTGAAGCATTGTTAATGCTCCAGCCAAAGATGCTTTTGTTCTAAATAATCAACTTTTGAACATTAAAATTAATTCAGATTAAAAAAAAATAAATATTACATACGACACAGTTAAAGAAGCAAGATCTGCACTGATTTGTTTTTGAGTTTGATATAATGCAAGTCTTCTGTCTTCTAGTTGTTGTACTATTTTAGGTCTATGTTTCAATGAAGATATTATTAATTCAAGTTCAGGTCCAGAAAGTTGTTCAATTTGTTCTAATGTTATAACCTTCGTGATATTTTAACCAGTTAATATACTACATACTTTATAATTAAAAATTATGATAATTACTAACTTGATTAATTGGATTAGGAATAGTCAACTTATAATGTTTTAAAGAGGCTAAAAAATCATTTGCATCTTGAATTAGTTTTGTCATAGAGTATGACATTTCATCATAGTAAATTACTCGATTCATGCATTCCATGATTTTTTCTGTTAATACTTTAACAGCTTTGCTATCAATTTTTTGCTGTTTACACCATTCTGATATTACCATAGACACCATTCTTTGTTGTATAGCCACATTTGATTCAAGGTGACTGATTATTAATTTTGTATAGCATGAGATGGGTGACTCAGTTTCATTTTCATAGCATACATTGGGTGCAGGAAGTATTATGTAACTAGATAATAAACCTAAAAATATAATATAGATATTTTAATTTAAAACCCCTATGATAGTTTTAATTTATAAGAGCATAAGCATTTTAAATAGAATTTTTTCTTAAATACCATAAACATAATTTCATTAAATACATTAAATTAAATTAAATAAAGTAATACCTAAATGTACAAATATCTTAGGCGCACTTGTTAAATAAAACAGATAAATTATATAACATATGTTTTATATGTATAATGATGATAATATGAAGTTTTGTAATTTTATTGTCTTTAAAGCACATAAAGTTAATATTTTCATCTCAACATTCAGTTTAGTATTAAAATTAAACTTAACACATTTGTGTACTTAAAAATAGTAGTATAATTATAGGGTGATAAGTCAAAATGAGTTATTATCTTTCTAATCTTACAAAAGAGCTAATAAATAAATAAATTACATTTACTGTAATATAAAATAAATTTTTTATAGAAGTTTTTTAATAAAATAATTTGTTTAAATGTATCAATTTTGATGCTATTATCAAATTTTGCAGTATTTTTTGATTTGAATTGATATCAAACTCAAAATTTTTATTTTTGGCAATAACATGTTTTGGTTTGTAGCTCTACAATAATGTTATTACCTAACATTTCAGCTCCTAATTGTCTTGCTCTACTAGAATTTTTTTCTCGTTGATCAATAGGAATAGCTTCACTCCCTCCTATATAATACTTAATATCCAAATTAGATTCATTCATTTGATTTTCTACCTAGATAGGAAAAATATAATTATTTTAATATATCATTAACTATATTATAATAGGGCAACTGAAGAAAAAATAAAATTTTATTTTATATTAATTTATATTTTGTATATTACTGGTCTAGGGAAAATGGCATTCCCATCACCCAGTGTACCTTAATAAGTACCCTTCAATAGACTGACTGACCGTAAGTGGTTGGGGTAGTATGGTCCTCCAAGTTGGGGGTTGAGCACAGGGCTAACAACCCTGCCTCATAAAAATATTTTTTTATTTAGGAACCTAAGAACAAGCCTCGGACTAGATTCAATGGGAAAAGATATGGAAACAGAAACACGGAACTCACTTTTGGAGCTTGGAATGTATGAACACTTAACAGACTCGGTGCTGCACAAAATATGATCAAGTTTAAAGTAATTAACCCAAGACTAGCGTTATTAAAAATAGAGACTAAGTTTTTTGATATCGTATTCATTAATGTACATGCATCCACAAAGGACAAAACACAACAAGAAAAAGAAGATTTTTATACTGAGATTGAAATACTACTAGAAGAGATAAGTAATAGTAAAATAAAAGTTGTACTACGAGATATGAACGCCAAAATAGGGAAAGAGAGATCATTTAGACCAACTATTGGTATCCACAGTTAGCATGACATAACTAATGACAATGGAACAAAAGTTATAGATTTAGTGATAGGGAAAAGTCTTAGAGTCAAGAGTACAATGTTCCCGTATAAAAACATACATAAAGGGACATTGATGTCACCTGGTGGTAGGTACTCAAATCAAATAGACCATATATTGGTAAATGAGAGATTCGCCAATAACATAACTGATGTAAGAACATAGAGGGAGCTGACTGCGACTCCGACCATTTTCTAGTAGCAAGCAACCTTAGGGCTTAGCTAAAAATAATGAGTAAGAAAATGAGATCGAAAATTGTCAGGTATGATGTAGAGAAACTGAAGGATAAGGATTTATCCATGTTTGTAGTTGAGTTCTGACGTTTCGTACTCATTGCAGAGTTTTCATCTTCAGAACTCAGCTACAATTATGGATAAATCCTTAAGCACTTCAAGCAACAAGACAATCCATGAAAGCTTTAACACATTCACAACTCAAGGATAATAGGAAAGTTAGACAGTTTCAAGAAAACATATAGGAAATTATACGAGAAGTTAACTCAAATCCTGAAACAGTAGATGAACAATGGAAAATAATTAAACATACTCTCGGAAAAGTGTCAGAGAAAGTTTTAGGAAAAGCCCATATAACGAACAAAACATAGTTTAACACTATATGCCAAGAAGCCCTGGACAGAAAGAAAATATCAAGAGAAAGATGGCTAAATGATGCTGAAAATTATGAAAAAGAAAGAATCTTTAGAATAAAAAGAAAAGAAGCTCATAACATTATTCGATATGAAAAGAGAAAGTATGTTCAAAATGTAATAAAAGAAGCAGAACAAGATTACAGATCACACAAGACAAGCTATATCACAAAGTAAATAGCTTTAAAGGAGGATACAGAAGACAAGAAATTTTTTTAAAAAATTATGATGGAAGCCTAGTGATAAATCAAGAAGAAATAATGGAGAAATGGGCAGAGTATTTTGAAAAACTACTCAATTGTGAAGAACCAGTAGATACATTTACATATACATATGGATGCAACGAACCCAATGATGACCCCTGCCTAGCCTCATCAAAGGAGGAAATCGAACAACAAATCAAAAGACTCAAGAACCGTAAGTCATCCAGGGAAGATAACCTTCAAGGAGAAGTACTAAAGCATGCAGATAGCTTAATGATAGAGAGTGTATACTTGTTAATAAATGAAGTGTGGGAAAAGGTAACTTTACCGGTAGACTGGGGAATAGCAAATATATCCCCAATCCATAAAAAAGGCGACATGCAATTCTGTGGGAACTATAAAGGAATACCGCTGCTTGATAAAACATATAAGGTATTATCATATTGCATCCTGGATAGAATCAAACCTCTGGCCGAAGACATGGTGGGGGACTATCAATGTGGATTCAGGCAAAACAGGTCAACGACATACTAAATTTTTATAATTAGACAGCTATTCCACAAAAGCTGGGTATACAATAAGGAACTCCATATAATCTTTGTAGATTTTAAAAAGGCGTATGAGAGTATAGATAGAACTAGCAAAACCAAAATTTTAAAAGATTTCCATTTCCCAAGGAAAATAGTAAATTTAATTAAGCTAGTATAAAACAGACTAAAGTTAAAGTAAGAAACATAACATCAAGGATGGTGGAGGTAAAAACCGGACTTAGATAGTGTAATGCCTTGTCACCAATTCTTTTTAATTTAGTACTAGAGAAGGTCATCCGAGAAATGAATATTGGAAGAGATGAAGGAGAAATAATGGATAAAACTTGCTTTAGTCTGCTCGCCTATGCAGATGATATAGTCCTGCTATGGGAAGAGGAACAGGAAGTGATAGGTTTATGTGAAAGGTTAATAGAATCGCCAAAAAAGGTGGGGCTAAATCTCAACATGAAAAAAACGCAGTACATGAAAGTTAATAGGGAACTACTAGGTAATGTTTCTGCAAAAGAAACCATAACAGTTGGTCAGTATAAGTTCAAAAAAATGGAAGAATTCAAATACCTGGGTACTCTTGTAACGCAGAAGAATGAATGTCAAATAGAAAGTAGGCAGAAGAGAAGCCATAACCAAGAACTAATGGAGATATTCAATAGACCAAATATTGTAAATGAGATCAAATGGAGTAGGTTGAAGTGGGCAGGCCACGTATGTAGAAAGCAAGATTCAATGGTTCAAAGAGTGTTTCAAGAAAACCCAAGTAAACAAGAAAAATAAATTTTACTTTGCCTCTACATGTAAAGAAGCAAAAGATCACTAGGGAGATCAAGGCTACGCTGGGATGAAGTCAAAAAGGATTTCCTAAATGCTAGAGGAGTGGTGTATGGCAACATGAATTGGAAGGAGGCACCGGAAAATAGAGAGGAATGGGGGAGGATTTGTTCTACAGCAAGATAGTCTCAAAGGCCTTAAAAAAAAAAAATTCTATTTTGTATTAAATATTTAATATTTAATGTGTAAAAAATTTCTCTGATAATGTGAATACATGTGATAACTGTACATAACTATAAATATAAAATTATAAGTCACGTATCTAATGAATTTTTGGTTCATAAATATTTTTAATATTATCAAAAATACCCATGAATCATATTAAGCAGATTTCCCCTAACTTTTAGGATTTTGAATACACAATATTAAATAAAAAATATTCATTCATACTTTATTAGGTGATGTTGATATATTCTGAATAATATTTGTTGTATCATATGGTATTCTTTCTGACTGCATAGTCATAGCCAACCATAAACCAACTAATGGACAAGCAGCATTCAAAAGAGATGTTAATGAACTGTTAGTTAGCAAATTAACCCAAACCTACAAGATAAAATTGTTTTATTTTATCAACAAATGAAAATTAATTATCATACTTCTTTCATTTTAGTTTGTACATCTTCATCTGGTTCAGTCATAGCTCTTAAAAAAATAAGTTTCATAGTATCTTGCAGTAATTTTATATTTTCGAGGCTGTCAGAAAAAGCTAATTGTGGAGCTGATGTTAAAGTAATTAAAGACTTAATAGTTGCTAATCTTACTTGAGTAGCATTGTGTGATAAAAATGACCAAAGTCGTGGTAAAACTTGAAGAACTGGTTCATTTCTAATAACAAACATAGTTTATTTTAAAATATGATGTTAAAAATAAATAACAAATTTTTTACTAACGTTAGTAGTTTTGCCGATGGAAGGCTAAATAATGCAGCTAATAGAGTCATAAAATTATTACAAGATGCAGTTAAATCATCTTGTACAGCTAACATTTTCCATAAAATGGCTATTATATCAGAAACCCATGCATCATTGCAATTCATTACATTTTCTACAATTGGTATCAAAGTTGCAGCTGCTACAGCACTTACATCATCTACTGTATCCATTAATGCTTTAGATATGTATGGGAACGTTTTATGTAAGATTTTTTCAATAAGATCCTATAAAATTTGAATTAATAGTTATGAATTAAAAAAAATCATAACTTAAAAAATTCATAAAACCTACTTTTCTTACAACTAGCAAATATTTTAGGCCTAGAAGTCCACCATGTCTGGTTGTCCAGTCATTATGTTCAATAAGCTGGGTAAGAACATTAACAACATTCATAACATTATCTTCAGACATAAGTTTGACAATAAAACCTATCATACATATATAAATAATATCAGCATACAATAAATAGTTAAAATTGATGAACACTTGAATCAGTTTCGACAAAATCAAGAGCAAATTATAGTAAATAAATTTTATTTTAATATTCTCTTTAAATTTTTTTTAATTAAGTACAAACTATAGCATCAATAATAAAGTTTTAAACTTATTTTTACAAAATTATATATAACTTATGTTGTTTCTCAAATAACTAGTTTAAATATAAATATGAGTAAATGTAAATATTTTTATAGAACTAAGAAGTTCTTACTATCATAGCAGATAACTTTTTAAGAATAGATTACAACAAAGAAAATAAACCCAACACAGTGGGTCAATGTCTCAATTATTAAATTTTAATTTACCATAAGCTATTGGTAGCTAGAATATTTTGTTTAAAAAGGACAGCTCCCTTCATTTTAATATACTTATTGGGTTAACATTATAAACAGAAATAATTTTCGCTAAACATATTTATAACTAACACTATAATCTTTATTATTTATTGTTTTTATAAAAGGGGGGTTGAATGGGGTACTTACCTTCCCCTCCTACATTATATAGTTTGACCTAAAATATAGGTATAAATTGAAAAAAAAATATTGAAGAAGAAAATTATAACAACACAAAAAGTGATGACTTTTTAAATAAAAATAAAAATTTTTATTTAACTTTGGAGGCTCTTTATAAAAAGAAGAAAAGTTTTTGGGACACGTTTTTTTTGGCTTATATTATGTAACTTAAGTTTTAATTTAAATTAAATTTAAAGTTTAGAGTATTTCCAGAAGTAAAGAAAGTTAAATTTTCATGTAAGAACTACATTATGAATCTCCCTGACCAATTAAAGGTTAGATTTTCTAAAAAATATAACAAATAAAATGAAAATACCTAAGGTATCAAAAAAAAAAAAAGGTCAGATTTATAAAAAAAAAATATACTTAATGATAGTTAAAGACATCGTGCATCCATAAAAAAAAAGAATTATATTGACTTAGTTATTTTAAAAAAAGTTATGGCAATTTTAAGTAAAAAAAAACCCAGCACAGGGGTGTCATGGCACAGTGGTGACGTGGCATAGTTGGATCAAGTATAATGATATCTGACAATGATTAAAATCACTATCAAAAATAAACGCTTCGATGCAAATCTTTAGATAGTGTTTAATTTAAAAAAAATGGTAGATTATTCCAACATCTACATGAACTACTATTTCCTTATTAATATCCTGATTAAGATAAAGTATGTCAAATGAAAAAGGGATTATTAAAATATATTATTTCNGTCAAATGAAAAAGGGATTATTAAAATATATTATTTCTCATAAATAAATTGTATTGATCAATACACTTTTCAATAAGTTATAGCATTATAAAGTTAAAAATGTAAAAAATAAAATCGAGAATTTTCACACGAAAATAGCATTTGGTAGCCATTTTCACAGTGAAGACTAGTCCAGAGGTCAAATTTTTTTTTTTCAAATTAAAGTATATTACATTAGTTTTAATTTAAGATATATATAAAAGTGTCAGACCTTCCCGAACATTTTCAAAAGTTAAGTTGAAAAAGTTGTCATATTAAATCCCCTCCTGCGGGCAGATAAAGGGTCAAATTTACATAAAAAAATATACCAAATGATAGGTAAAGACATTAGGCATCTATAAAAAAAAATTGTATTGATATGTCTATTTTTGAAAAAGTTACGGCAGTTTTTAGTAAAAAAAATTGAAAAAAATTTCGAAAATTAACTATTTTTAAATTTGTAATTTTTTTGGAGGTTTCCCCCATTTACAGGGAACGAAGGAATTTTTTTCAATTTTTAAGGGTAATGTCTTCGACTAGATACAATTTGTGATCTTTTGACGTATCGTTGAAAGAAATCTGTTCGGTGAGAGCTGAGAAAAAGTGGTAACAGACAAAAAAAAAAAAAAACACATCATAGTAAAACCAATACCTTCTCAGCTTCGCATCGAAGCTAAAA